GTGCCTCTGGGGCGCGGAGGATTTAAAGTCCTCCGTCGGAACAAAAAAGTAATATATGTTTAAAACAGCGCGCAAATTCCTCCGCTGGCCAGGCCACAGAAAATGCACTTCCGCGTACTCCGCGTCCTCCACTAACGCAAGATATGCAAGTGCGACAAAACTTTCTTCCTCCTGATGCTCCCACCCCACTCAACATGAATCGGTCTTGGAGTTCATGCTGCTCCCACCCCACTCAACATGAATAGGGACCCGTGCAAATTTCCTGCAAGCCAACATTTCCGTGCCCCTGGCCCCTGGCCTGCCTTGGAAACACTCAACATGAGAGTTTCACACGGACGTGCCTTGCCGAACTATCGGTCTTGGAGTTCATGAGCAGCACCCCACTCAACATGAATAGGGACCCGTGCAAATTTCCTGCAAGGCAACATTTCCGTGTCCCTGGCCTGCCTTGGAAACACTCAACATGAGAGTTTCACACGGAGTGCCTTGCCGAACTATCGGTCTTGGAGTTCATGCTGCGCCAGGACGAAAGTTCGTCGCATCGGGCACTTATGCCAGCATGTACGTGCAAACCCCCCACCCCCATAGACTCCTCCACCAGATGTGCCTCTGGGGCGCGGAGGATTTAAAGTCCTCCGTCGGAACAAAAAAGTAATATATGTTTAAAACAGCGCGCAAATTCCTCCGCTGGCCAGGCCACAGAAAATGCACTTCCGCGTACTCCGCGTCCTCCACTAACGCAAGATATGCAAGTGCGACAAAACTTTCTTCCTCCTGATGTATAAATTCAAATGCTTGAGGCTACTTGTTGTCCTTGCAGTTTCGGCACCAGCAAGCGCCTGCCTGACCGCAGCGGGTATAAATTCAAATTTTAAAGACTATCCCAACCATGAACGAGAATAAGGGTCCCTGCTTTAGTCCCTGGGCTTTTCGCCTGGCGAAGGTCGCATTCGCCAATATCCAGAGACTTCTCTCGGCGAGCTGCTGCTGCCTCCGCACACCATTTGCGCTCCGGCCCGCGCTGTTTTGGGTTTGGGGTTTGGGGTTGGGGATTTAGGGTTTAGAGTTTAGGGGAACGTGCGTGCGTGCGTGCGTGCGTGCGTGCGTGCGCGTGCGCGGGTGTGTGTGTGTGTGTGTGTGTGTGTGTGTGTGTGTGTGTGTGTGTGTGTGTGTGTGTGTGTGTGTGTGTGTGTGTGTGTGTGTGTCTGTGTGTGTGTGTCTGTCTCAATGCCAGGTCTGGGTACATATTGGTGGATGGATAGGCAAAATATGGCGCAACCAAAAGCTGACGCAGAACCCGGGACTGAGCATCGCAGGGGTCTCAGGCCACAGCCATAGCACACACACACACACACACACACACACACACACACACCCGTAGATGGAACGCGGAGTACGTTTTTTGAGGCTCACTGACGTAGGCCAGGAAGTCGAGCAGGTTGCCTTCCCCATGTCTGCCATTAAGGGCTGATCACTCGAGCAGCCTAGGCGACCTTCAACCTTTTTTGGGATAGACTCATGGCTGTGTAGCCCCGAAGGTCAACGAGGGTTAAAACAGGGTTTTGGGGTCTCATGTGCCGTGTCCGAGCTTCTTCGAGGCAGCGTCCCTGCCGCGGCACTGGTGCAGAGACATGAGGCCACAGCAATGGGTCGCTTGGTTGGGGTTGTGGATCAACTCGGACCTTATCTAGCCATAAGCCCCATACAGTAGGGTGTAGGGTTTAGGGTTTCGGGTTCCATTGCGGGTTAGGGTTTATAAGCCTATCGTTGTTTCTCACGTTGCTGTATCGCCCGAAGCCAGAAGCCCCCAACGCCGAATCCTAAGTCGCGGTGGGGCCTCGCAAGGGAGGTGCTGCACAGCGCACCAAAACAGAGACGGTTTAGGGTTTTAGGGTTTTAGGAGTTTAGGATTTGCGGGTTTTAGGGTTTTAGGGTTTGAAGGCACTATCAACACGTTCTGATGCTCTCATTCCGAATAAGTACGAAGCCGCAGGGCAAGACTGAGGCTTGGGTTGCTGCCGCCTGGTTTGCTTGGGTTTCAGGCTGGGAATCTGAGGCCTGGGTCTGGGTTGATATTCACCTGCCAGTGGTGTTTAGACGCGCACGAGCGAGCGAGCGCGCGCAGTGTTGAAAGTGCCGAATCCATGTGACCCTAAACCCTAGACCCTAAACCCGAAATGGTTCGGGCGGGAGACAGCGCATGGCCCAAACGCTGGGAGTTTTTTCACCTTTGTCGTCACTGCCACGTTTTCGCACTCTTGCACGGAGGTGTTAGGAGGAGTTGAGGTTCAGGGGTTTTGACAGTTGGAGCTTGTCTTACATCTAGGTTGCCTCTTCAGGATCAAGCTGTCATGTTGCCGGCATGACGCACTAGCAAGCAGAGCGAAACTCTGCAAACGCCCATGTTTTCCGTAGGTCGCAAGGATTGGAAATCTCAGGTGTCGAACACAAAAGCTCCGCTGGAAGGTGTTCAAGAAGCCCTAAACCCTGCAAGGTAGCAGCCCGGGCCCACTGTACCAAATACTTGGAGTGTAACTGTATGTACAAGAGGACTCTCAGAAGAGCCACATTCGCATGCTATCTTGCCAGAGCCTTGCTTTGCTTCTGAAGACCCCAACCTAGCCAAGCCAAAAGAAACCTACTATTGCTTAAGAACCCCAAAAGAATAAAAAACAATACTCCCCATATTACCCTCAATAAGGAAGACTATTTGTTGTTTTTTCGGGGTTCTGAAGCAATTAGTAGAACAGGCCCAAAATCCAAGTTCAGCCAGGACGAGTTGACAAGCAGCCGCACCTTTCTCAGCGTGAGGCCCGTGGGAATCGGCCCAGGGAGTGGAAGGAAGAAGAGCAAAGGGGGAAGAAGGTTTAGGGTTTAGGGTTTAGGGTTTAGGGTGTAGGGTTTAGGGTTTAGGGTTTAGGGGGCCTTTTGGGGTTTGTGGTGTTTCGATTTTTTCGAACTTGAGAAGCAAGACTCTGGGATGTCTCTGGGGTGTCTGGGCGTTGAGATCCCCATCGCAACACAAAGCTCCCGTCCTCATTGCCCGAATCGCAGCCGCGGGCTTCGAAGGCATGCTGTGCAGTCACGGTTTAGGGTTTAGGGTTTAGGGTTTAGGGTTTAGGGTTTAGGGTTTAGGGTTTAGGCTTGAGGGTTTAGGGTTTAGGGTTTAGGGTTTAGGGTTGGGATCCGAAGCTGGGCCTGAGTCTCACGCACCAACTCGCAAACCCTTGCAAGCCTGACCCAGCAAAAACACCAGGGGTCACATTGGGGTCAGCCTATAACCCTAAACCCTAAACCCTAAACCCGAGCCCCTAAACCCTAAACCCTAAACCCTAAACCCTAAACCCTAAACCCTAAACCCTAAACCCTAAACCCTAAACCCTAATACCCTAAACCCTAAACCCTAAACCCTAAACCCTAAACCCTAAACCCTAAACCCTAAACCCTAAACCCTAAACCCTAAACCTAACCCTAAACCCTAAACCCTAAACCCTAAACCCTAAACCCTAAACCCTAAACCCTAAACCCTAAACCCTAAACCCTAAACCCTAAACCCTAAACCCTAAACCCATAAACCCTAAACCCATAAACCCAAAACCCATAAACCCAAAACCCATAAACCCTAAACCCTAAACCCTAAACCCTAAACCCATAAACCCTAAACCCTAAACCCTAAACCCTAAACCCTAAACCCTAAACCCTAAACCCTAAACCCTAAACCCTAAACCCTAAACCCTAAACCCTAAACCCTAAACCCTAAACCCTAAACCCTAAACCCTAAACCCTAAACCCTAGACCCTAAACCCTAGACCCTAGACCCTAGACCCTAGACCCTAGACCCTAAACCCTAGACCCTAGACCCTAGACCCCCTAGACCCTAAACCCTAAACCCTAAACCCTAAACCCTAAACCCTAAACCCTAAACCCTAAACCCTAAACCCTAAACCCTAAACCCTTAAACCCTAAACCCTAAACCCTAAACCCTAAACCGGATCAAGGGGGTTACATGGACACGGCTCCGCAGGCCGGCCGGCCTCGAGCTGCACTTTTGCGCGCCCGTGGAGGCAGCTGTGGGATTGCCTTGGTAGCCCAGTGGTGCCCCTTTTCCCTTTTAGCGGTTTAGGGTTTAGGGTTTAGGGTTCCCTTGTAAAGTAACCAACGCAAAAAGGGGTGCCCTCATCATGATATGGTTACTAGGCTACTAAGTTGAGCTTTCATCACGGTCTCCTCCTGAATTCTCGTGTGGTTCCCCGGAAGAGACTCAGGGATCAAACCGAGCCCAAGAGTTGCGAATGTTGAGCCGGGCTGCCGAGTCTAAGCTTTTCTGCAGCCTGATTGCCCAACCCCCATTCCTCAAGTCAACCAGTCTCCAAACTCTTTACATAACTCATGCCGAAGACCCTCCCCGAACCGTCGTACGCAAGTTTTCGCGTGAAGGCTGCACGAGGGCCTGCTGGCCCTTAGCCTTAAATCCCTAGGCCTGAGGGTTCACACGGCCAATTTGACAGTACGAATAAAAGAGCGGCCATCATGGATGTGCCTCGTCTGCCTCGTCTGCCTCGTGTGTGTGTGTGTGTGTGTACACGCGCGCGCTTGCGTGCCTGCATGCGTGTGTTGATTGTTCACTTGCCCAGTGGTTCGTTCGGGTGCCCTGCAAGGCCGGAGATGGGGTGAAGATCTGCGCCCTGACTAAACAGACCCGGGGCATGCTTGTGGTTGTTAAAGTCGAGGCTATGGCCCGTTGACATGTCGCCTGTACTCTCTCTGCAATGCTCATCATCCGCAGGAAATATGACTACATGACTACATGAGGATATGATGCAGTGCTAAGGGGCTCCTTGGTACATGGGTACATGTCTTGGTGCTCTTTCGGGGTGGCATCCTGGCGTGTGTCTGGCCCTCTTGAGATTATAGATAGATTTTTCCATCCAGTGCCTTGCATAATTATTCCCACAAGTTCCCAACCAGTAAACCAAACCCCAACAGCTTCGGTGTCTCAGGTTCCCTCTTCTGCCGTGGACCCGAAGCTTCGTCGGACAGTCCCTCCTCGAAGCGGGTTTGCCGCGTTTCTGGCGTCCACTTCCTCTGCCAATCCACATCTCTTGTGCAACTGTGCTCAAAGTTGGGCATGGTAGTTCATCCTTGTTCTTGTCTCCAGGGCCGTAACAAGCTATGCAGGAACCCTGGGTCTATGGGCCCCAGAAGCCTCAAGCATGAATCCGTTCGGTCCAGGGCTTAAAGACACCCAAGCCTCAGGACGGGCTTGAAGAGGCAATTAGGATGGTTTCGGCATGTGCGTCATCCTTGGGACTTGATATCAGAACCTGCGCAGCACTTGCTCTCTTCAGCCTTCTATTCAAGCCCTGCAAAGGGGGTTTAGGGTTTAGGGTTAGGGTTTAGGGTTTAGGGTTTAGGGTTTAGGGTTTAGGGTTAGGGTTTAGGGTTCTGCCTCAGGCACGCCCTGCCGTCACCCACCGCCGTGACCACCATCGCGATCCAGCCCACATTGGCCATCCTCAATGCCTTGCCACTAGGACTTCTGTTTCTTTGTTTTCGGTCTGGGCTCGTGCCCTTTCATGAGGATCAGGTACATGCAATCCTTTAAGGCACCTTAAACTGTCTAGGGAGGGGTCTTGATGACGGAGTAAGGTATATTCCCTGATGAAGGGGTATGGTTTTGTGCCCTCCAGCGAACGAACACTGTGCCTCTGTCCTACGAGAAGAGGTTGAACCAAACTCTGCGATGAGGCTAGATATCTAATCTGTCATGAAAGCCAAATATCACCATGTCGGTGTACTTACCCGAAACCCTAAACCGACACTTCTTGCCAGCAGGTACTTTGCATGCTAGGCCACCCCTAGACCCCAAAACTCCAAGCCCTCGAAAGTCAGCCACTATGAGCCCTAAACTTCTAAGCCCTGAGAATCCCAAAGCCCCTAGAGCCCGAAAACACGTAACTCCAAAACCCCCTAGACCTCTAAAGACCCTAACCCCTAAAACCCTTATGCCCCTAGAAACCCCCAAACCCCATATAAAACCCCTAAACCCTAAACCCTGAACCCTAAAGATGCCAAAACCCGTGTGTCCTGCAAAAATCCCTGGTCCCGGAAAGACACCAAACCCCAACAACCCTCCAGCCCCAAGTATCTAAGGTTGGAACCATGGGCCCTTAGCATGGTCCCTTACCCTTGTTTTTGGGATCCGAAGTATGGGCCCTTACTATACATAACATACTTGGAACCCTAAACCCTGAACCCTAGGGTTAGTGCAGTCGCGCTCAGTTGCTCAGACTCAGAGATAGCGCCGAGTAAATCCTAAACCCTAAACCCTAAATTACTAAACTCTGAACCCTGAACCCTGAACCCTAAACCCTAAACCCTAACCCTAAACCCTAAACCCTAAACCCTAAACCCTAAACCCTAAACCCTAAACCCTAAACCCTAAACCCTAAACCCTAAACCCTAAACCCTAAACCCTACCCCTGGGAGGATGCCTGGGCTTGCGCTACACCACCAAGCCAGAGAAGAACAGGTACTTGGAGGCGAAGCGGCGCGAGTCGGGTCAAAGCTTACAAGAAGTGAGAGGGCTTGGGGTCCAAATGGATGTTTCTATGATTATATGATGACGTGGTTCATGCTATTGCCACACTATTTTTGTCTGGTTACGCAGTTATGCCATTATTTCATCTCTCTCTATATATTAAAGTTATTGTATTATGTTTGTTAGATAATGTGATTATCCCAGGCTGCCTCCTCGTTTTTCACATTATTGTAGCATCATTGTTCTAACATTCTAGTTTTTTTGTATCAGTTGAGACCCTTCTGTGCTTCGTGCATCCCGCGTTGCTGAGGCAACTGAGGCCACGGTGCCAAGTTTCTCGCGGAGGCACATCTACAGCTTTCCAGGCTCGGCAAGCGGCGGTTTGGGGGTTTAGGGTTTAGAGCTTGGGGTTTACCATGTGCTTTCTACAGCTGTAAGAGCGTATGAAGCGAGTCCCGGCAGAAAGGGCTCCTCATGAAGGCTAAGGCAGAGGCATGGCATCTCAAGAATCGAAGCCCGAGTTCTCTTGGGCCACAAGAGCATTCTTGTCAGCATAGGAATGTAGCAATGTAACAATGTCATACTGAAATAACTTACTAATGTCAGAAAGTAGTAATGCAATCATATGATTGTAAGTATATATATATATAAGAAGTTGCAGAGCCCAGGTGTGCGCCGCGAGGGCCTGGCTGTGATCGCCAGGCTCCATTTGCAGTGGGTCAGCTCAAGGATTCAAAAGGCTCAAGGTTCAGGGTGTGCTGGGTTTAGGGTTCAGGGTTTAGGGCTTAGGGTTTTTAGGATTTAGGGTTTATAGGGTTTATAGGGTTTATAGGGTGTATAGGGTTTAGGGTTTCTAGGGTTTAGGGAGGAGACGGCCGCCTGTCTCGCCTGGTGTTATGAAGGGCAGAGCACCGGAAGTATCATTGCCGTGTTGCAGTGCTCGATGACCCCTTAGGGTTTAGGGTTTAGGGTTTAGGGTTTAGGGTTTAGGGTTTAGGGTTAGGGTGGCAAAGAGCTCGAGAGACGGCATCAATGGTACATGGCGCGAATCACATGAAGCAAAGGAAGATAAGGACACTGCATAATGACGAGCGACGCACCAGACTCACGGATCGATTCCATTTTCAATCACGAAGGATAGCTACAAGTGCAGAACAGTTCTGTGTCGACCAAGCTTCATCTCATCATGTCTCAACTACCGCAAGCCCATGCGAATGGAAGCACTCGAACAAAAGCAAAAGCAGCGTGAGCTGCGAGGCTAGATACCGGCGCGCCCTGGTCGGCCCCAGCCAAGTTCGCCTGGGAGGCCTTCAACAAGGAGGCAGGAGATGGTGCTTGGGGTCGTAGGAGTAAGGGATTGGCGAAGTAGGCTTTTCTGTTTGGAAAGTTGAAGCTTTTTGGGGGCTCTTTCAAACTGCACCCATGGCGCAGGCTGCGTGCTTGAATCGTAAGCAACATGTTGTACAGTCAGCATTACGTCCCAGTCTCGTCCAGTCTCTAAACCTTTTAAACCCTCGAACCCTAAACCCAGTACACCTGCCGCAATCCTGTGGAGTGAATCCCGACCCCCTACCATCCTTCAGAGTGAATCCCGACCCCCTACCTCCGAAGCCTCAAGCCCAAGACACACATCCACACGCTCACCTCGCCGCGACCTCGCCCCCAAATCTTCAGATCTTCAGCCCATACCAGCATGGGCTTTTCAGACCTGAACCCTAAACCCCTAAACCCTAAACCCTACAACCCCCTAAAAAAAGGCTCCTTCATGGGGTTGAGTATGGGGATTCTAGGGGCCCAATAGCCCATCCTGATCCCCGACCTACCCAGCAAGGCTGCAGATGGCGGGCAGTTCCTGCAGCTGCGCCAGGACCTGTCCGACCTCGGTGACCCTAAGCCCTAAACCCTAAACCCTAAACCCTAAACCCTAAGCCCTAAGCCCTAAACCCTAAACCCTAAACCCTAAACCCTAAACTGAACCCTAAACCCTAAATCCTGAACCCTAAACCCTAAACCCTAAAGGGTGGTCCATGTCTGGGCTCCATAAGCAACCCTATGGATGGGTAGTTCTCTCTATACAGGGCGCCGTACCATTTTCCCTACTTGAAGGTTCATGGTACTTACTAACCAATGATAACTGTACTTATAACCCTACTTATAATTGGTTAGTAAGTACCATGAACCTCCAAGTAGATTCGCAGGTTTCTAAAGGGTGCCGTACTGTACAGGGGACCAATAGCTCAAGGCTTCCAGGCTCTCCAAGACTAAACCCGATCGGATTCCCACTCTCATTCCTTGCAATTTCAATGACATCCCGTTATATCCCGTTATCATCCATTAATTTAACAGGATACCCCTAAACCCAAAACCCTCAGCCTTAAACCCCAAACCCCACTACAGGGTATGGGGTTCTTCGGTTCCAGGAGAACGAAGGGGCTGCGGCCGGCGTGTTTTTCGAGCCCCTGAGCCTCCCAGCTCCAAAGGAGTTCCGTGTTGCGGGTTTAGGGTTTAGGGTTTGGGGTTTAGGGTTTAGGGTGTAGGGTTTAGGGTTTTGGGTGTTTCAGGGGTTCGGAAGTCACCTTAGACCCTAAACCCAAAACCCTTAAACCCCAGTCATCATATGCAGTCTATGGTGAGGGTCCTCCCCAGCCTAGTTGCGGGAAAGGTTCTTTAGCTGAGGCCACTACGAGATCCGTGTGACGTGTCCCAACTGGCCGCTTTGCTCGACTCAGAAATTTCGAAGGGACCCAGGGGCTAGGGTTGAGGAGCTAAGGGCAGTTCTCCGGCAGAACAGGGTCTTTTACAGCCAAAGGCTCCGTGTGATCCACAGAAGTTGTGCAGTACCATGCTATGGCATATAACCCTGAGCTTGAGAGCCTTTCGCTTTTTCTTGGTTTGGGCTTAGGGTATTTGGGAAAGCGGCGTTCATGCGCGCACCAGCATGTGGACCACCCTTGCACCCTGTCAGAGACTTTCTTTCGCACTTTCCATGAGCGCTGGCCACACCCCACGGCAATTTAGGTAGACTCTCCGTGTAAGTTCCATGTATATGAATCCAAATTCAAATCAGAGTCGGAAACCCTAACCCTCAATCCCTTGGGGCCGTACATGCGTAAACCCCAAAATTCAAAACACACACACACACACACACACACACACACACACACTCACAGTAGCTTTAGGACTAAACCCTAAACCCTAACCCTAAACCCGTAACCCTAAACCCTAAACCCTAAACCCTAAACCCCTTCGAATGGTGTTTCTTCTTCGTGTTATGCCAGGCTGGTAGATCGATCTGGGGTTCCTTCCACCGTCAAGCTGGCGATTCACCACCTGGGCCAGGGGAGGGTTTGGGGGGTTCCAGGGTTTTTCGGGTGTTTAGGGTTTTTTGGGGGGCGGGTTTAGGGTTTTTTTTTGGGGTTTCGGAGTTTTTAGGAGTTTTAGGAAGGGGTTTCGGGGGCTTTAAGGGTTTAGGGTGTTTAGGGTCTACAAGGGTTCGGGGGGGTTTGGGACGCGGTAGCGGATAGGAGGAAGCTATCAGCAGCTAGGCCTTTATAAACTTCCGGGCCGAGGGTTTGGGATTTCAAGTTTGGGGTTCCACGCGATAGAGCACCCAGTCCCAATCAGGGCTTATGGCTCGTGGGGAAGTTCGGGCATAACCCTAAACCCTAAATCCTAAACCCTAAACCCTAACAAGGCCCTAAGCCTTGATTGGGCTAAGTTGGCGTTGGAGGTGAAGATTTGGTGCCCTGTGCATGTTGCAACGTTGAGACTTCGTCTAACCTCAAAGTTCCGAGTGCGGGGCGTGGGGCCGTGGGACTCGGTGTTTGGGGCTTATAGGGCCTAGGGTTTAGGGGTTTAGGGTTTAGGTTTAGGATTTAGGGTTTCGGGTTTAGGGCTTGTTTTGTGTGCGTTTCCATTGGCCAAAACCAGGGCGTTGTGCAGAAGTGTGGAGCTGACTGGAACTGCATCGAGCCATTTCCGCAGGCAGACAGCTTCCATCTGCTGATGGCCTCACGCTCATGCACTCAGAGTGCTTGGAGGCCGGATGCTTGCGGAAGTGCTTAGATGGACTTTGCGAAGTTCTGTTCCCTGGCTTGTGCTTTCGATGCTATAGCCCCCTGAGGAAGTTGGTTGCTACATGCAAAACCCAAGGGAATATTCAGGTTCAAGTGGGAGTATAGTATAGGGACTCAGAATGGTTGTGTCTGTGCATATATGTGCACTTCCGAATTGAATGGCCGCTGAGAGGAGCAGTATTGGCAATGCCTTGTTCAGGTTCAGGGGGTCACGGCTGCGGGCCCCAAGGGAGAGGTCAAGCAGAGCCCTAAACCCTAAACCCTAAACCCTAAACCCTAAACCCTAAACCCTAAACCCTAAACCCTAAATTGAGTTAAAAGCAAGGCTCCACTCATGTGGAGCCCTGTACCAGGAGAGCTGCGAGTTCATCTTGACATCTCCGGCGGCGACAAGCAAGCTGGAGGTGCCGTGCTTGTGGACCCTCGTTCATTGGTTTAGGGTTTAGGGTTTAGGGTTTAGGGTTTAGGGATTGCCCGGGGCCCAGTATTCAAAAGGGTTTAGGGTTTAGGGTTTTCCCGTTAAGTTGTGCTAATCTGCTCAAGAACCTTCTACAGGGAACAACGGGTCTTTCTTACGTGTCGTAGCGCCACGTCTCCAAACCCTTGACTACCATAAACCCTAAACCCTAAGCCCTAAACCCTAAACCCTAAACCCTAAACCCTAAACCCCCCCAGCTTGCCAACGAGCACGCCTGCGCCTCACAGCTCTCACAACTTCACACCTGTAGCCTAGTAGCCAACCTCAATTCTCGCATGCCGCGAAATATGCCAACCCGAAGGCCAGCGACCTATCATCCAAAACCAGTATCATCCAACACCCTCCAAAGGCCCAAAGACACCTCCTGTCATTGCCAGCATGCCTTTCGAGAGGTCCGCGTCCCGCCAAACTTCTCAGTGCTCCCCTGGAAATCGCTTCTGGGAGACCAGGCCGCGTGTTGCCGCTCTGAAATTTTCGGGTTTCGGGTAGCTGGGACACCCGAAAGCTCAAAAACCCCGGGGAGCGGCACGGGCTAGGCGACCGTTTACAGGAAGCCTGAAGTCCCCAAAGCTTCGGCCCCTAAACCCTAAACCCTAAACCCTAAACCCTAAACCCTAAACCCTAAACCCTCAGGACCGGGGCCCAGAGCTCGAAGGGTCTGACTCGCTTGGGGACTAAATGAGCCCTAAGGCTTCTTGGGGATGGACATCAGGAGTTGGGATGTTCCCCCTTCTACTAACAGTCCTTAATGGGGATTCGAGTGCCCCCCCCCCCAATTCTAATCCCTGTTAAGGACTGTTAGTAGAATTTTGGGAACATCCCAATGCAGGACCAACATTTAACATGCTTTGAAATGGGTTGATGAGACAAAGTCTTGTTTGACATGTCGAAGCTTTCAAAGAACGCGTGTAGTCCCTGAATAACCCTCAGAGAGAGAGAGAGAGAGTGAAGCTCCGCCTCCGAAGCCTAACCTGAGATGGATGAAATCATAGATGTGTATAAATATAAATATATAAATATAAACATAAATATAAACATAAATATAAATCTATAAATGTAAAGATAAATAAATAAATTCATATGTATATATATATATATTATTTATGTATTCAATTTTATTTTAGTTTATACATATATATATATGTATATAAGTGTATCTGATACGGAATATGAAACTTTACATGATGTAGGCATATATGCATTTATACATGAACTAAAAATACTGTATTGTGCTAGGAACTGCTTTGCAGGTCTTCTGCCTCCAGGCGGAGGACGTGACACCGGAGGACATTCACGGCGCCCAATGCCAGGCTCCGCGTGCCTTAGGAGGGTTCCGCAGGGTTTAGGGCTTAGGGCTTAGGGTTTTGGATGATTCTGGGGAGTTCAGACCTTTGTGATTCTGCGGGGTTGTGGCTTTGTTATGGGAGCACCGTCTGAACATTCTCGCCTGATATCGCTAACGGCCTTCCTGTCAAGTTTTCCACAGGATCTTCATGATACGGGCCACCTGAACCACCACACTCCTCGAACCCGAATCTTCACCCTGCAACCGTCTGCCTGCAAACGTGCACCCGGATGTTTTTAAGTATAAGGGTTTTGAGAACCGAACCACCTTGCAGGAAGGCCTCATCGCCGGCTCGATCGGAGCTAGCTGCGCATGACCGTCAAGTTATCCCGAATGCCGCGCAAACTATACACAACTCTTGCTTAGTGTTCAGGGCACAGTCCATCTCACAGGACAACCTCACGACCCCAATTACACCAGATGCCGTTTCAGGATAGTCTGTGCGGCACATCTCGGTTCCCCGACTCAGAGTCACCCTAAACCCTAAACCCTAAGCCCTAAACCCTAAACCCTAAACCCTAACCCTAAACCCTCAACCCTAAACCCTAAACCCTCAACCCTCAACCCTCAACCCTCGGCCATGGCTGCGGAGCCCGTGCTGTCAGTGTGCAGCATGGTCTCTGGGGCAGTCGTTGCTGAACTGGATGACGCTGCCTTCAAGGCTGGGTTGTTGCGGCCTAGGGCTGAAAGCTGGGTTCAGGCGGTGAGGGTCTAGGGTAAGCCGGGTAAGATTAGAGCGCAGTTTTGGGGCGCAATCTTCTTGGGGACTGGGTAGGACTTTGAGTAGAACATGTGCACGCGGTACGGATAAGGAAATCTGCCGCATGGTTTTCGCAGATCACAAGAATGTTGGGCTTCATCGAAATCCCGGGCTCTTGTAAGGTCTCTGGAAAAGAAGGAAGCCACAATGAACACATATACCGGATTCTGTATACTGGCTCGTAAGCTTCAATCGCAATCCGGGGTCAGGTCTAATCGGCATTGAATGGAAAAGCACCTTCGTGTTCTTATTTATATAACGAAGTTGCTTCAGCAATGCGCCCTGTCTGGGAACCACGGTTTGTGCAAAAAGCTGTGTTCGACACCTGCTCCCGGCACGCGATACGAAGACAAACGTGTCACGTGTTCTTCAAGGTTAAAACTGCGCTGCTGCACTGCATCACCACAGGGCTTGCCTATCTGTCAAAGACTCGCATGTTTCGGAGGCTTGTGCAGCTTGTGCCTGCAGAAGCAGGTTTCTGCATCAGACATGCCGGTTTCAGATTAGGTTGCTCTTGAGACATGGCATGGGCATGGTCCTAGTTCCTTGGCGGCGTCCTACCCAAAGCCGCCGAAGTGCCTTATGAAATTCCTCACGAGCTTGTTAGCCCTAAACCCTAAACCCTAAACCCTAAACCCTAAACCCTAAACCCTAAACCCTATAACCTATAACCCTATAAACCCTAAACCCTAAACCCTTATCGTCCCTTATCGTCCGAAACCTTGCTGCATCCCCTCTCAGGCCCTCTGCGCGCGTCCCGGTGGCGGGCTGCGCTGCCTCGCAGGGCACCTGCACGCAGCTCGGGGCAGACTCGGAAGATCCTAGTTAGGGTTTGGGGTTTAGGGTTTAAGGTTTAGGGTTTGGGGTTTAGGGTTCAGGGTTCAGCGTTTAGGGTTCAAAGGGGAGTCTGGCTTGCCTTCAGTCCAGCGGCAAAAGGTTTAAAGGGTATAGGTGGCCCAAACTACTACCAGCACGATCCCTTTACCGTCTGATGAAAGAAGCCACAATCCCGCATGCTACGAGTCATCAACTCTGGTAGGCGAGTTGTCGGATGCCTTTATTCTAGCAACAAGAAGTTGGCAGAACTCTCGTAAGGCAAGCTTAGATTTATGATGCGTTTAGAGGCTTCCGTTGGGGACGGCCTAAAATAATTAAAATTGGGAAAGCAATCCAAAAACCATAGGAATGAAAGTCCAAACACGTTAGGAACCCATAAATCGATGAACAATTCGACGTCCTCTTTTTTCGGAAAAAAGTAGGAAAACAATGGGATTCGAATAGGGGAAAAATGGCCAACAAGTGAGGAAAAAATGGGTCATTAAATGAAAAAAGGGGGGATTCCTTCCTTTTCCCCTTTTTTCGCTCACATTTTTGATGTTCGCTCGGCTCCTGGTTTTGCACTTTTTGTCTAATTTGTTTCGCACTTTTTGTCTAATTTGTTTCCAGCTGTTTTGGGCCCAGCGTCTTGTTTTCCTACTTTCAGTGCTTGTGTTTCCTACTTTCGTTTGGATTATTTTCGGATTGTGTTTGGATTCAAAACCTAAAACAATTATTTTAACGATTTCCAAGGCCAAGCCTGTTAGCGGCATCATCAGCTTAGATGAAGATGGAACTCTTACATGATTCCTTTCGGCATTGATTTTTGTCTCACTTGGAAGTTGCCTTATTTGGAAGTGAGAAACGCGACGAACAAGAAGGTTCTGACTGACAGAGCGCCAATAAACATCTTCCGTCAACTTCTTTAGCAACTCATCGCAGCACACTTGGTTGTGCGCCTGCGCGTGAACGTGTTTGTTTCGCAAGCTGCGGACTGCAGACCGGCGGCTGAAGGGAGTTTGCTTTGCCAAGGTGGATGGACTGGTACCCTACAATTGCCGGAAACGTTTTTCTTTGCAGCACAATCCGATATAGTAACTAGAATAATAACTAACGTAATTTGTTGTTTTACGAAACAGCGACATCAGCAACCATGTAAGGCTGCGACGGGCTGTCCGAGGTTTCGCCAACGGCTGTTTGCCGAAGGTGGGGCGGATCGAGTCAGGTTTAGGGTTCAGGGTTTTTAGGGTTTAGGGTTTTCAGATTTAGGGTTAAGGTTTAGGGTTTTTAGGGTTTAGGGGCCAGGAGTAGGTCTGGTTTTGTGCCAAGGTCTGGAAGCAACATGCTGACATGTTCTTTGCACCTACATAGGACCTGTACTCACACGGCGCGGGCGGAGCATGCAACCCTAAACCCTAAACCCTAAACCCCAAACCCCAAACCCCAAACCCTAAACCCTAAAGGCCCTAAACCCTCATCAATAGTGGCGCGAGCCAAAAGCACAGAACTCCTGAAGGCACTCTCATCACAGATGAGTCAGATCTGTCGCTGCCCTGCTCGCTCCAGCTAGCGTCTGCGACTGAAAGCATAGGGTTTAGGGTTTAGGGTTTAGGGTTTCGGGTTTAGGGTTTAGGGTTTAAAGGAGGGGTTAGTGCGTGGAGGAGGTTGGGTCTCACAACATGTCGCAAGAATAATTGAAAACCCCCCAGAAAAGGGGGACCTGCACCCCTGCGCCATTTGGGGGGAGCCTTGGGCTTTCAAGCTGGCAGAGGGTAGTGCTTTAAACCCCTGAACCCCTAATCCCCAAAACCCCTGACCCCCTAAACCCCTAAACCTCCCTAAACCTCCCTAAACCTCCCTAAACCTCCCTAAACCTCCCTAAACCCCTAAACCCCTAAACCCCTAACCCCGTAGCCCCGAAGCAAGCCCCTAAACCATATGCAAAGTCTCTGAGGTACTCTTGCCCCTTTGCACGGCCACGTCAAAGCAGCGGGAAGAGGCCCCTCTGCACCTTCGGGTTTAGGGTTAAGGTCAGAAAGGGTTGCCATATGGCTTAGGGCCTTTAGGGTTTAGGGTTTTCAATAGGGCTTAAGGTTTAGGGTTTAAGCAAAAGGGGGCTACTCTCCCAACGATCAGTGGCCACACGCGCGCACTTCGTTTGAGATGTTTCATGATGCCAGGGATCAGTCTGCCGACTCTTGGGTTGGGTTTTAGGGCCTTAGCTTATTATTATTGCAAGTACCAGTACCATTACCATTACCATGACCATTACCATGACCATTACCATTACCACTACCATTGCCATTACCATTACCATTCTACTACTACTACTACTACTACTACTACTACTACTACTACTACTACTACTACTACTACTACTACTACTACTACTACTACTACTACTACTACTACTACTACTACTACTACTACTACTACTACTACTACTACTACTACGACGACAACTACGACGACTACGACGACTACGACGACTACGACGACTACGACGACTACGACGACGACGACGACCACCACTACTACTACTACTACTACTACTACTACTACTACTACTACTACTACTACTACTACTACTGCTACTACTGCTACTACTGCTACTGCTACTGCTACTGCTGCTACTGCTGCTACTGCTGCTACTGCTGCTACTGCTAGTACTGCTGCTACTCCTACTACTACTACCACTACTATTACTACCACTACTACTACTGCTACTACTACTACTACTACTACTACTACTACGACGACTACGACGACTACGACGACTACGACGACTACGACGACTACGACGACTACGACGACTACGACGACTACGACGACTACGACGACTACGACTACGACGACGACGACCACTATACTACTACTACTACTACTACTACTACTACTACTACTACTACTACTACTACTACTACTACTACTACTACTACTACTAGTACTACTATTATTCATAGTCATTATTATTATGAGTACTATTACTACTTGTACTATTACTACTAATTTAAGGTTTTTGGGTGTGTTAGGGTGTTTAAGGTATTTTCGGCTGTCAGGGTTTTCAGTCTAATCATGTTCAAGCTGTACCCCCTTCAACCTGCGCCCTCTCACCCTCGAAACCTCAAGCGCTAGACCCTAAACCCCAAACCCTCTACCTCCTAACCCTCGAAAACCTAAAGCCTTGGAAACCCTAAGCCCGCGATTCCCCTGGTTGAGGTTGGCAAAGCCATCCTGCTCCAGAAGGCCGACCTGGTGGAGGAGAGACTTTGGTTTTGTGATGTTAGGGTTAGGGTTTAGGGTTTAGGGTCACGAGACCTGTTGGAAAAGGGTTTAGGGTCTAGGGTTGAGGGCTTAGAGTCTTGCAAAAAGGGTTGAGGCTTTAGGGTTTCAAGGGTTTAGGGTTGGGGGTTCAATTGAGAGCCGATGGTCATGGGGGTGGGGGGCATGCTCGTTGGTGTCTGTCCAGGACCTCCTGTGGCAATGCCACGACCCAAACATGGTGGTGCCCCACGGCCGCAGCGCCCTTCACGCGCTGACGGTGCGGTTCAGGGCCAGGGTTTTTGGGTCCTGCTGTTGGGAACGGTAGTGCTGCGCATGGCAGCACCTTGCAGGGGAGGTCCGGGAGGTCAGGGTTGCAGCTAGCAGGAATGTTTCGTTCAAGTCGCGAGTCAAGAGCCCCTGAATTGGTTCACGTTCAGGTTTGTCCACGGCTACCATGAGGGAAAACCTAACGTCTGGGATGTGCCGGAGCTGCTATAGTCTGTCATTTTTGGTATCGAGTAACATGAGATGAAGTCTTCCAAACCTCATGCCAACATAACAATAAACGTTAGCTGGACGAACCACTTTCTTCCAGATGCTTGACCTCAGGCGCTGAAGAGATTTCAGCCGAGCGCTTGCAACAGGGTTTAGGTTGAGGTTTTGGGGGGTACCGCCCACTTCAGCACTCGGGCTGCTGAACCCTAAACCCTAAACCCTAAACCCTAAACCCTAAACCCTAAACCCTAAACCCTAAACCCTAAGCCCTAAGCCCTAAACCAAAGCTGCGAAGGTGGCGGCATTGAGTGGCAGCCGTGGCTGCCTCAGCCTCCTACTGGAGGCCTAAATTCCTATATTCCCCCTTGGGAAATAGTTTTTTGTTCATGTAACACCCAAGAAGATATTTTTTGAATAGCATTTTTCTTGAGGTTCTAAGGGGAGTATAGAGGCAGGCATCGGGTGAGATGGAACCCCTACCATGCCCGAGATATGTTACTAGTAATTGCTCAAGAGCCCCGAAAAAATGTTCTTCCTTATTAAGGGTAATGTAGGGCTTATCTTTTTTGTTTATTCTTTTGGGGTTCTTAAGCAAATAGTAGGTGAGGCTTCTGTAGAATCTTGCAGTTTCCGAAATTCGGGGTACCTTATTGGGGCCCTGATTATATGGGAATCCTGCTATTTGGGGGCTATGTTAGGGGTCCCCTATTTTCATCTGTGGCCCAGGTTCAGAGCAGAGTGGGCTTTCGAAGCCTTTGGGAGCACCCCTGAAACCCTAAACCCCTAAACCCCCAAACCCCTAAACCCCTAAACCCCTAAACTCCTAAACCCCTAAACCCCTAAACCCCTGAACCCCCTAAACCCCTAAACCCCTAAACCCCGAAACCCCTAAACCCCTAAACCCCTAAACCCCTAAACCCGAAACCCTGAACAAGGCCGCAGCTTGCGTGGACGCGTTTCGAAATCGTGGTCTGACGCCGCTGCAGTGGACAGCCCGAAGGGGGCACCTTGCAGCGGCACAGCTGCTTCTCAACAAGCAAAAGGGTTTAGGGTTTAGGGTTCAGGGTTTTGGGTTTTGGGTTTAGGGTTTAGGGTGAAACTGAGCCCTTTAAGCGATTCAGGGCTTGCCCTAACAGAGGCTTTCAATGGAGCTCCTTTCTGTATATCTCTATGGCGGGTTCGAGTGGCCGGGCCGTTCAAGCGAATCTTGAGGGGGTTTCTAGCGCGGCAGGTAGCAGAGTCGAGATCTGCAACGTTTCTAGTCGAGCTTCACGCTCGATGGGGTCTTTCACTTAACTTAGTGTAAAAACCGCACAACATCTCGATCATCCTGTTCCAGAGCGGAAATGTCATGCTGCTCTGGGTGAAAGGCGGCCATAGCTGTGGTACCTAGTAGCCCGTGATGGTCACATACACATCTCCCTGGCCAGAAGGTAGCCAACGATCTATGCAGACTCTTGCTAGCTACAGCGCATAATGGACACCGAGAGAGTCTCCCCAAAGCCACTCATGCAACGCACCACAACACGTGGGGTCAAGGGCCTTGGGGTTTTGGAAGCTGAGCCGGCCGAACCAGCTTCAACTACAGTACCTGGCGTGGCGTCGCTGATACCTGATTCGGTGAGTCTGTATCCCTGTCCGACAAAGTACCTTCGACTCCTTGTAGATAGTGGGCGAGTGCGAGAGTCGAAGTCCTAAACCCTATAGCCTATAGCCTATCGGGTTTTAGGGTTTAGGGTCTAGGCTGCGCGTGAGGCTTGTCAAAGCTGCGGCGGACTTGGACAAGGTGGCACGTCTGCCCCCTAAACCTAAGACACCAGGGCTCACCAACGTTTCTGTTCGGACCTTCGGGATATTCGCGTTCAGGGAATGATGCTCAGCTATACACCAGTTGTCCTCGCATGAAGCTGCCAGCTTTTACTTCCTCACGTTGCCGCTAGGCCGAGGATACCCCGACTGCTTTGCTGCTTGCAGCAAGGAACGGGCACTTTGACGCTTGGCACGAATATATATATATATATATATATATGCGTAGTGCGTAGTGTTGATAGAGCGGTTAAACGTGTTGTCGCACTGCCCAACAAGGGGTTCGAATGACTGAGCCTAGCTGAAAAAGTCCACGGCGTATCTCTGTGGGGATACTCTGATACTAGGGTTTAGTTTAGGGCTTCGGCTTTCGGCTTTCGGTGCTTCAGAGTTCGGTGACGAACGCAGCGGACTATACACATCCTAACACTGGAAATCGGAGAGTTAATTAATCCGTGGACTCCGTGGCCTCAAGCCAACGTGCCACGGCCGGGGAATGCCAGCCTTGCCTGATTCGCTCCGCGAAATCAGGGTCTTCCACAATTTGCACAGCTAGCTCTGCAATAGGCTGTGCCAGCGGAAGGGGCGGTCCAATCAACCGCACCGCCGGGAGGGTCTGGCAAGGGTCAGGCTTCGGAGGAGAACCGATACCGGGGGAGCGGTAGTCGTGCTCTACGATCCTGGCCAAGCAGGTCAGGCTATCATGCTGCAGATGACGGCATAGCCTGCCATGTGTCCAAAACTGTGTGTAACACACCGGACAGGTGCTACCCGATACTCTCTGCGCCGCCTCACAGCGTATCTTATGTTGAGCAAAGCAGTGTGCAGAGAGCCGCTGCTGTGACGCGAAGGAGCGGTGGCAAAGAGAGCACTGGAAGTTGGCTGGTCCTTCCGCAGAGTGCTGCTTCGGGGCGCGCCAAGCAGGTTCATGCTCATCCCTGTGTACTGCAGCCAGCGCCTTCCGGACCGCAGTGCGCAGCGCGGCGGGCGCTTCAACCGCCCAGCGGAGTAGCCCTGTAGGAAAATCCTGCAGGATGGCGGAGGGGACCTTCGTGAGCTGTGCCAGCCAGGCAGCATCCTCTTGGAGAAGTCCCAACCAGGAAACGGCGCCGAACTCGAAGTCCGCCTTGAGGAGGGCAAACAATGTCTCCTGTGCCGGCATGCAGCGTCCAAAGTGCAGCAGCCTTTGTCCCCTGAGGAAGGCGCAGGGGGAAGGGGATTGGAAGAAACGGCAGACCGTCTCTTCATTCGGAAGGGAGGGGGCCCCCGTCCAGCGGTCATCCTTGGCTAAAAGCCTATGGAGCGCCACATAGCCTCTGCGCCAGGTGTCGCTTTCCTGTCGCGTCATCCTGTCCCACGTAGCAGATGTGCAGCTGGCAGCGGAGAGGGCCAGGGATTGCAGACACAGTCGTCTGGACGCAAGCGGGATCCGTGGGTTCCGCAAGAATGGCCGGGCCAACGGACGGACCTGACGCATGCCTGATGCCAGATGCTGCACAACATCGTTCAGCACTGTGACTTTGTCCTCAACCCGACCCCCCAAGTGCTGATACGACCTCACACAGCAGACTGGTACACTATGGCGGTGGTGGTCCTGAAAGTGGATGATGCCCCCATTCCATACATGTATGCGCCTGCGCATGGCCGGAGCACCCCTGCCTCTGAAGGCCATCATTAGCTCCGTCTTCCCACGGTTGTAATTGGGTTGCATGCCTCTCTGGATGAAGCCAGCATGAATGTGCGCCAGTGCCGCTTGCATCCGGGGCAGGAGGCGGGTAGCGTCTGCGTCCGCAAACATCATCGCGGTGTCGTCGGCCCAGACTGGCGAGACGAGTCGGCCCCCTAGGTTGGCACGCTGCTGGACTGGGTCTTCCAGCAGGCCGTCGCACTCAAGTCGATTCTGTGCGTCGCGCAAAAAATCGGCTTGGACAAGGGCGAAAAGTAAATCAGCGACTGAATCGCCGGGTCTGGTCCCGGCCGCTGTGGAGGTAACTCCTGGTGCGCCTCTCATATGAAAGAACGTGCCGGCCAGAAACTCCCGGATAATGCGGGAGGTATGGGCCGGGGCTTGCTGCAACAAGTTTGTGCTGGAAATCCAGCTGCATACTTCATGCACCGACTCAGGGGCCACGTTCAAGCGCCGTAGAAGCTCACATAGTGCCACGTCGTCCTCCAATTCGTGTTCCCAGAAGGATTGGCGCAGCACACGGTAGTAGGCGGACGCAACGTCCAGGAAAAGGACCGCGGAGGAGATTTGTGCATGCGCTGCAAGGGAAGTGTAGGCACGGACAACGTGGTGCGCGGCCTGTAGGAGCGACCCTGGGATCCCACCTTGCAAGAGATCATTGTCCGGTAGGGCATTGATCAGGTCTTGGCGGATCCCCTTCCTGAGGTGCTTGCCAGGGCCATCCATTAGGGCAATTGCACGGAAGTTTGCAACGCAGGTGAGCGCGCCTTTGCCCTTAAACATGGCGATGAGGCATGTTGATTTGAACTGCACTGGTTCGCAAAGGCGGATGTGCGTTTTCAAGTAAATGGGATAAAGAGCACGAGCAGCCGCCGGCACATCTAGTTTCCAGACCCACTCCGGAATGGCATTCGGGCCCGGTGCTTTCCCATTTTTGGCGCCACGGAGCGCTCTCTCGAGCCCGACAAGGGTGGGGAGGTCTCTTAGCTCGAAATGCCCCTCGGTCACTCGAGCTGCGTAGCGTGCGTTCGCATCGTGCACGTAGGCCTGTGGGGTGATGGGGGTGCCTCCTTCCAGGGCAGCAAAGTGTGACGCCTGTGCCTGCGCCAGCTCAATTGATCCGTCCTCGGCAGCACTCGGGTCGACGATCAAAGGTTGGAAAGGCTTCCTGACACGCTTGGAACGGGGGCGCAGTGATGCAATGGCTTTGAAGAAGGCCTTGGCGTCGAAAGGCTGCGCGGCTGTATGGATGCCAGCGAACCTCCAGTTGATGAAGGCAGCCTTGTCCTGGACTACGCTGTGCTTAAGTTTGCGCTGCGCATGTTTGCGCAGGCAAATAGCCCTTTGTCGCCTCTGTTGGACTTGTGCCAAAGACCAGCCTTCCCTGGTGCGGAAGGGAGCCACGCGCTTCCATGCCCGGAAGATAGTCCCCAGGGTGCACCTGATATTGAGGCGATCTAAGGTGCGACAGGCCTTGCCAAGGGCTCTTTCACATTCCAGCCAGAAGCGGGAGAGCGGGGAGAGGAATGGTCTGCATTTTCTCTCTTTGGGGAAGAGCCTTTTGGCCTCCTGCGCCGCGATGGCTATGGCATCGTATAGCGACTGGGTGTGCTTATGGATGTTGGCCTCCCACGCGGCACATGGGAGGTTCAGGACAGCTTGCAGGAGGGCATGTTTAGGTGCCTCGTCAACAAGGTCGGCGTCACTCGGCAGTCCGACCTTGTTTTTGGCTGGGAGCCTCTGCCGAGTGCCGAGGTATTGTCTGCAATCAAGTTGCACCGGCCAGTGGTCTACTGTTGTTGTGGTAAAATCGACCAGGACTTCAGGGCGGAGGGCGGTGTCCTGCCAGCTTCTGGGGACGGCAATGTAGTCAATCCTGTGCTTGCTGCCTTTATGCGATGTCCAGGTGGGCTCGCAGCAGCTTGGCACACACGCGCCGTCCTTATCGAAGAAGGTGGCCGGTGCAAAAAGGGCAAAGGCATTGAGCCATTCCCTGAAGAGGGTTCCGGCAACAGTCTCTGCAGATGCAGCATGCTCCCCAATGGCTTCGTCAGTGACGGTGCCAACTTGCGCATTGGCATCAAAGAGGCATAGGCACTCTCTGCCCTTGGCCAAAGGGGCAATATCGGATTGGAGCTCTTGCCACCATTTCTCTATTTCAGCCCTAGGCGTACCTGAGTGAGGTGCGTGTGCTGCAACGCAGATGGCTCTCAAGCACGGTGCAGTGATGGTGACTGCAATCCTTCTGTGGTCAGCCAGCACACATCGGAAGTGCTCTGCCACGAAATGGAGAGGAGTCCCATTCAATTTGGCATATGGGACGTGTTTGGAAAAGAAGAGGGAGCATCCCCCTTCACCCGCTTTGGCTGCTGAGGCGAATTCAAAGAAATGTCTACCTCTGCATTGTGTCGCGGTCCGAGATCGTGTCTCTTGCAAACCAACAATGTTTGCCTTGCGGTCGACCATTTGTTGCAGCACTATGTCGCGGCTGTCAAGAAGGGACAGTGCATTGTAGGAGACAAGGCGCAGCTCGAGGGTCGCCTGCTTGTCCTGTCCGAGTTGGACGGTCTGGTCAACCGGGTTCCGTGGGAAGCACTCATCTGGAACAGGGTCTGGTGGCTCATAGAGGCCGCTGCAAAGCCTTTCGAGCCCAGGAAGGTCATGAGGCTGGTTTGGCAACATCCATATCCACGGTAGCAGAGGCGATTTCATGATGGTCCAGAAGGCATGTGGGAGACACGATTCAGGTCTGGCCTCAGTGGCTTTGTGTTTGGCAACTCTGTCAGCAAGCTCATTGAAAGGGTTGCCTTTGTGACCAGGCAACCAGCGCGCTTCCCATGAATGTCCACAAGCCCCGACAAGTTGAGCAAGGCACCGCAAACGTTCCGGGAGACTAAGCCGCCCGACGACGGTGGCAGCAGGGGAGGCGGTGCCATTGATTATTTTAAACACCGAGCTATTGTCAGTCCAAACGCAGACACTGCATGCAGGAGGGACGCTGACAAGCCATGCACACGCCACAATGGCAGCCTGTACCTCCGCGCTATAGCTCGAGAAATCTGCCCCTACGGCGTGTTTGGCGAACTCCGTGGTGGAGCCCCCCTGCCACCCGACGAGGTGGAGGTGTTGCCCCGCGCTATCAACTGTCTCCAACACGGTGACCACCGCCCAACCGGCGTTGGATATGCCCTGCAGTTTGCCAAAGGAGCCATCCGTGAAGAGATGCAGGCGGGCAGGCGCATCTCGGAGCGGGGGTAAGTTGCTCAAGTATGCAGCAATCTCAGCGGGTAGTTGTGGTATCTGCGTGACATTCCGGTTCCAGAACCTCAGCCAGGGCATGCTGAGTGCCTTGAAGGCCTTATGCATAACATCCTCGGCTGTAGTCGTTTCCGGAACAGCCTTGCAGAGCGCTATAGGCGTGCCAGTGGCCGAGGTTGCAATCGTGCGTCTGCCTAGCGGGGTAGCCACCTGTTGTCTCAGTCCTTCAGGGGCGTGTTTGCCGTGGGAGGGGGGGGGGGCACTGCTGCCCACCTCGGCAGGTCCAAAAGGGGGGCTGGAGGGGAGGCGGAACTCCTGAAGGCAAAGGGCTACTCTGCCGGCGGGTGCATCATCCTTCAGATCTGCGCAGGGCGGGCGGGGGCGCTGGCGGGGTGCAATGCTACTGCGCTGTATTTGCACCAGACTGGTGCCCTCGCTCGGCTCTGCTAGGTCTCTCCTGCGCAGTGTATGCACATGTCCGTTGAGGGGCTGTTCAGTGCTCTCAACTTGTAGGTGCGGCTGCGCAGGCAGGAGATGTGCACTTGCAAGGAGGCCGGGAGCAGTCGGCCAAAGCAGTTGCATTTGTGGCATATACGGTACTGGGATCAGGTGAAAAACTGAGCGGCGTTCGAAGGGGTCGCGCGCAACGAAGACTGATGCATCCAGCGACATATGCCGCGTATCAGTTACCTCGTGGATGTCCTGCCAGGTAGTGATGAGGCGAAGTGCTTCGACTACCTGTTCTCTCCCTACAGGGAGCCGGCCTTGCACGTAGAGCAAGATGTCTCCGAGGTTGCGGTTGTGCACGATAGCCTGCCGTCCCGGCACAATCCAGTGTCCCAGCCTGATGGCATGGTTGTCGAGAGCATCGCGCGTGCATTGACAGAAGGCCGCAAACAGGGCATGCGGTGTGGCAGGCACATGCTGCAAGTTCGGCGTTTCAATGTCAAGACCCAGAAGCCCGAGAGCCGGCCACTTCCTGAAAAAGGCGGACCGGGGGACGGCCGGTACGTTGGGCACAGCACGAAAGACCGCAATGAGGTCTCCGTCTTGTAACGGTCCGTGGAAGAGTGCATGGGGGATACCGTTGATGAAAATCCTAATGTCTTCGAGCCTGTATTCAGGTCTGATCAGCTGAGCTGGATCGGCATCGGGATCAGTTGCCTCATGCGAAAGGCCCCCCCCCAGAGCCCGGCAATCGATGACAACGTGTATGTCAAAATCGAGGGGATGCCATATGAGAAGCAGTTCAGCGTATGTGTCTGAGTGCCGCGGGAGAGCTTGCACCAAGCGGAGCACCCCGTGCCTGCGCCCGCTGTTTCGCTCACAATGTGTGTAGAGCAGTTCAGCAATAACCCGGGACAGCGAGACCAGATTGACTTGACGAAGTTCCTGGCAAGCAATCGTCCCCCCTGACACAATGGACACAAAGAGCCGGTTCGGCGGTGAAAGAACGGCAGTGGTGGTGACCGAAGTGCTGGGCAGGATGGCTTGTGTGGTGGTCTGAGTGGTGCCGCTGTCTGCATCAATCTGCGAAAGGGATTCCCGGCCGCTCGCAGTGCTGGGTGCTTGTGCTGGGTAGGCCGCATTCCTCACACTTCTGCGTTGCCACCTAGAGAAGCCAACCACAGAACACAGAAGGGGATGTGTGCGCAGGTGAGTCTCTCAAGAGCAGGAAGACCGAGGCCTCGTGGTCGCACGGTGGCCAGAATGGGGCATAGTATGCCATTCCGACCCTGGGTCTGCCTTGCAATGCCTGCTCGAAAGGAGCAATGCAGGCCATCTCATCCGGGCTCGCCCCGTGCGGGATCAAGTAGGCTGCTAGGTCAGCCAATTGCGTGTTGATGGCAACGAACTTATCCTGGGGGTCATTAAAGCCCGGTACAGCAACAAAGACCCATCGACCCTTGTGCTGTGCTCTGGCGTCGTAGAGTCGCATGGGAGGCACCCTTCCTCCCAACCATGTCTCGACCCAGTCAGCAACTGCCTCTAGGGTGGGTCTGTCCGTCCCAACAGAAGCAGTGTGCGCGATGCCGGGACCTACAACCACAAAGTAAGTGCGACCCCTGCTAAACCCCAATGACCGGAGCCTGGCACTGATGGACGATTCCCAGTGGAAAATCGAGTCAGTCTCCAAGTTGAGCGCCGGGTGGCTCCGTCTATTGATTCCAGTGGGAAGGGGGAGGGGGATGCATGCAGCGTGCATACCATAGAGGGAGTGCGCGATGGTGTCAGGTGCTCTAGAGTCGGGTGCCTGGCGCGCAAAAGACGCCGCAACAAGATCGCCATCGTGCATCTGTCTCGGCCCGTCCCACCGATGTGCATTGGCATAGAGTGCCCTGACGTTAAGCCTTCTATGGGCAATTTCGTCGGGTTCAGCTAACCTATTAACCCTTAGGAAAGACAGGGAGCCTGCCGGGCGCAGGTCAACCCAGACGAAGCTGAACACTGGGTCGGGCTTAGGGGGCACGGCGAAGAAGAGAAGCTCCCGCTGTGCAGCACGCGCAGCTGGCTGTGTCAGGGACGCTGCGATGGAGTAGCCTGCAGGCATTGCATTCTGTGCAATTGCTTGTTGGGTGAGTTGGTGCAGGACTACATGTAGCTCGCCCTCGCCCTCCAGTGTTGTCTCAAAGATGAACCCTACGGTCGTGCTGGAGGGTACACCCAACCTCGCTAGCGTCCGCCTGGGTGTGGGAAGCAAGAACCTGAAAGGGTCATTTTCCACTACGCTGGTTGTGGTAGTAGTGGTAGAGGTGCATACTACGATGTCCGTCGCCCTATATCCCATCATGAACTGTCGTAGTCCTGGGAGCTGCGAGATCACGTGCAGTGTGTCCTCGACTGCACTGGTGAGCCCATCCATGGAAGGCACGGCCAAAGCAGCATTACTTAGTGCCGTGACATGGAATGACCAGTTCTGCTCAGCTAGGCCCACACGCAACAGGCAATCATATGCCGCCGTTACAACACCACTGCGAGCGTCGGCATCACTTGCGTCTGCCTGTAGCAGGTGCAAGTTACGAATGTCATGCCCGAAGATGCGGCGGGTGTCAAAAAGGAAAACCTTATCCGCAGACCCTATCGGCACAACCAGCACATGCAAATGCACCCCGTGGACGATAGGTTGGCTTGGCATGAAAATGATTTTCCATGCGGCATGACCAGTGGTGTCGTAAAGCCGCCGGGCTGCGTGCTGTGCAAGCATTTCTGGGGTGACAAGCTTTGAGAAGGCCCACTGCCATGGGTGATGCCCTGCGGCATGGAAGGCCACCTGTATGTCCTCTTCTTGTTCAACCGTACGGAAGAAAGTGCAGAAGGGGGTGCTCCGGTCGAGGGGCCCTTCACCGGAAGAAGCGGTGGTGCTACTCGATGGAGTATCCATATTGGTGGAGCTGGAGGAACTGCCCAGTACCACAGTGCGATCAGGTCGGCCTGGTTCAAGTATTAGCGTTGCATCTCTGTCCAAGACGGAAGCGTCCATCGGTTGGACATCTGTGCCGTCGCCTCTATGCAAATGCCAAAGCCCTCTAGCAACCAGCCTATGTGCCGCCTCCGGAATGGCCGGGCAGGCCTGTGTGGCCTGGTATACATGGGCAAAACCTGTGGCTGCAAAGGGGGCCTGCACACAACAGAACACACCGCTGGAGCCCCTTGCATCTATGGGCAGTACGACCCAGTCCGGTGCGATGCCTGCCGGCTCGAGGACAATCTGAAGCCTCGGGAGGGCAGCGAAAGGGGTGTTGAGGATTCTGATGCGGCCAATGGGGCCCGCTCGTGAACGGTGCATTGCGTCCTGAATGGCATCGATCACACTCCACTCAGCATTGAAGGGGCAGGTGCGCATGTGGTCTACTGTGTCAAAGAAGACATATTGCTCAAACTGAACCCCTGCATCTGTGAGCACAGCAATGTCCCCTGCAGTGAAGTCGGTTGAGAACCAAAGCCCGTCTGGGTCAGTTCCCATTCCGCCACCATTGTTGGTACCGATCGCAAAAATGCAGGGCCCTACGACAGGGGGCAGCATGTGGAAAGGTTGCAGGAGTGGACATTGTGTGGCGTCCTGAGGACACCATGGCCGGTCCAGAGGAGGTGGCCAAGAAACCTGCTCCTGGAGCACGACTGGGCACCTCTGACTCAGTCGAGGATCGAGGGCCGTGCACTGTGCGTGATATGCGGAAAGCTTGGCCCTCCTCCATATGCTGAAGGCCGGCTTCAGGAATTCAGCGAACCTGGTCTGGCACTCTGCCTGTGTGCTTGCATGCTGGAACCATACGTGGCCCGGAGGGCTCGGCCTGAAGGAGGTAAGGCAGGGGGGGGCCAACCGGGGGGGGGGGGAACAAAGGGTCCGGTCCCACGGTGTCCGCTGACAAAAGCATATCTGTACAAAGGCTGGCCTGGTACTTGCATCCTACAGCCATTCCAGCACCTAAATCAAGGGCAAGATATGGAAGTGGTTTAAAAAAGGGGGCCTCTGTACAGTCATCGATTCTCGGGTCAAGAAAAAAGGAATGTCTATCGTCAAGCCCGAGATGGGTTAGCTGCGCTTCAAATGCCAGCTGTTGTCCAAGAACTGCCGCTTGCCATTGATTGACAAAGTCTGTACAGTTGTGGACTGTAAGTTTGGGGAGCCGTGAATCGACACACGCTTTGGTGTGGAAGGGCTCAAGCCTCTGCGAGACCCGCGGGCTCAGGCAGAGGCCGCACCAGGGGGCAAGGAAAGTCCACCAGGTTTGCCGTCTGTGCTTGGACCAGCCACACGTTGCTTTGTGGCAGGGGGTTCCTCCCCGGTGAGATCGACCTGTGGAGGCTGTCTCCGTGGAGTCCGAGATCCGTCTCTCTTGGCACTTTCCAGACGCTCGGCAGACTTGGCCTTGATGGTCTGCAAAGCTTTCTGCAGTTGGGCAGCGCTGGCTTGGTATTGTTGTTTCTCGGCCGCCATCTTCTCCGCAGTTTCCATAGATGTATCCGCCATGGCTGAGGCTTCCGCCACTGCCTCGGCTGTGCCTGGGTCGTCGAGAGGGGCATCCGCCACTCTGCGGCTTAAATCCTGCGTTGCGGCATGTAGGGCTTGCGACCATTGCAGCTCCGACTCCGCGTAACCATCCAGGATGGCCTCCTGTTCTCCGATCTGCGTACCGAGCATGTCCGTGATCTGTTCCACATAGGACAGCCAGGCTTGGAGGTATTGCTCCCTTTCGGATCTGACTTTGGCCAGTTGCTGCTTCGCATTGGCCTGGGCAGTGACTGCACGATGTAGTGACTTCGCTGCAGCCTGTGTGTCGTCTTTCCTGAGGTTGTCCATCAGGTCCTTGGTTTCCTGCGGTATCACGTCTCTTACCGAGGCAAGGCTTTGCATCAGTGCCTCGAGCTGCAGACGTTCCGACGATGGTGTCGTTGAGCTTGTCGGTGTAGCCTTTGGTCCTGGTACTGCAACCGAGGTTGGTGGAGGAGGGTCTGGGCCTTGCCCTTGGCTTCTCCCTTGCCCTTGTCGGCACCTTTCTGTGGTTTGCCTTTGCCCTGCTCTTTCCACCGGCGAGGCGAGCGATTGTGCCTTCTGGGTGACTGCCAACCGTCTTCCTGACCCGATGATCTCCATGGGGCAGGCGTGCGTTCCCAGGAATGATATGTTGGCACTGTGGGCGTCGGGACAACCGCCACTGACTCCCAGTGCCCGCCACATTGGCCGCAAAAGAGGGCCTGTGCACGGACATTCTGCTTGCAGACCGAACACTTCCAGGGTTGTGGCCTTGGCGAGGTCGTCATTGTATAAGTGTTCCTGCGCTGTGCTAAGAGTGCTCGAGCCTGCACCGGCAATGTAGATCTCGAGTGGTGGCCTCTGAGCCTCCGAATAGCAGTTGCAACCGCCAGATGGTTGGCTGGCTGGCCTGCTGTAAAGGTTCGCAGCACTGTGCGAGCCTTGCACCTGAGTCTCCTGTGCTGCCGATGCCAGGCAGGCTCGGAGCGCGCCGTACTGTGCCTCAGAGCCCAACAGGCCCTGTGTCAGTCCAGAAAAGAGAAGGCACAGCAAAAAGAAGATCTTGTGAAGCAGCCAGCAGTGCATCCACAGAGTGATCGGGTCCAGGGAAAAGCCTCCGGACCTATTCCAAGTGGGCGCAACTCCACAGGTAAAAAGCGCAGTGGGGCAAGATAGCTGGCCAAGTTAATGACAGCAGGTATCCGCCAGAGTGGAGCGAGTGAGCACGAAGTAGATGGCCAAGTAAATGGCAGCAGTACTCGTTCAGCACGTCGCCGCGGTGTTGTCACACGCGCTGGGGTATGGCAAGGCCAGTGGATCCCCCGAGGGGGAAAACTACACAGACCTTAAGCCAAACGCCTTTAGTTTAGGGTTTAGGGTTTAGGGCTACTAGGGTTTAGGGTTTAGGGTTCAGGGTCGCCGAGGAGATCGCCTGCTTCTTGCTGCAAGCGCGGGCAGACAACAACAAGGCATCCGAGAACGTGCAAGCCACGCCTCTGCATGAGGCATCCTACCACGGCCACCTTGAGATCGTGCGCCTGTTGGTGGATTCTGGAGCCGACAAGGACGCAGAGTAATGTTAGGGTTTAGGGTTTAGGGTTTAGGGTTTAGGGTTTAGGGTCGTGGCCAGAAGCTGCTACCAACCCTAAACTCCCTAAACCACGCAGATGCTTAAAGACCCCCCCGCCCACACATGTGTACCCTCAGAAGAGGATCAGGCCAACGCCTCAGGCACCACCCCACTTAGCCATGCCTGCCGCTTTGGGCATGTGGACATCTGCCGCTTCTTGGTGCAGGCGAGGGCGGACCTGAATCTCGGGACTGGTTGGTAATAATACATTAGATCACAAAACTTGGTAACCCAGTGGTGCCCTTTTGCCCATTTTTGGGTTCAAGGTTTCCTTGCCTTCCAAAGCAACCAACCCCAAACGGGTAACCTTATCATAATATGGTTACTGGGCTACCGCCGGGCTACCATGATAATAATACAATAATTTCATATAAGTATATAGTAAGATAACGCTATTGGTGTATTTTGGTGCAGCGAAGTTGTTTCTGGAGATGGTATCGACCATAGGCGGTGTTTTGTTTCAAGCTTGCCTCCCTTCACGACCTGCCAAGGAACAAGCCTGACCATCTGGGTGACACTCCCCTCTTGCGGGCTTCAGGCCACGGCCACCTCGAGATTGTCAGCTTCTTGGTGGAAGCAGGCGCAGATGTTCCCGACGATGCGGCCGCCTGCAAGGTCGCGGCAGCCGAAGCAGTGGACAAAAAGGCATGCTTCGTCCGAGGTTCCCTAAACCCTAAACCCTAAACCCTAAACCCTAGACCCTAAAACAACCCTAAGCGCTCTAAAGATGGCCACCACAGACAGGCCAAATCAGAAGCCTAAGCTTTAACAGCCATGCCTCCTGGTGCCAGGAACTAAGATAGCACTTTGTCCTTATATGTTAGACGTATACACACACATAAATGAATATATATATATATGTATATGTATATGTATAACATGAATATTAATATTAATATTAATACAAATGTAAATATAAATACAGATAAAAAAGGTAAATGAACATATGTGTGAAACACTAAATTATTATGAAAGTACAGACATGTCAAGCCTACTCCAGGAGCAGATGCCGCAAGGGTAACATAGGGGTGGAAGAATTACGAACAGTATTCCCTTAGGGTCCCCTTATTATTCGACCATAATAACCCCCCACAACCCTATTCTAACAGTAATTCCCTTAGGGCCCCTTTAGAATTATACTTAAATAACCCTGAAAACCCTATGGCCCCTGTAGTGGCTTCAACTGGCCGGCCCCTTTGCAACATCAGCGGTGGGCCTGCAAGTGGGATCCTAAACCTTCGGTTGGCCGTGCCTCTAAACCCTCACCACTTCAGGGTTTAAGGGTTGAGGGTTAGGGTTTAGGGTTTAGGGTTTAGGGTTTAGGGTTTAGGGTTTAGGGTTTAGGGTTTAGGGTTTAGGGTTTAGGGTGCATGTCAGTCAGACCACTCTGCGCGAGCAGGCGCTGGTGCTGCGGCCCCGCTTGGCTCCTGGGCTGAATCCTCCTTTGAGGTGTTTCACGGTGCTGGAAGGTCTTCTCCCCCCCCCCCCCCCAAAAAACCCGGACCCCCCCCCCCCCCCCGCCCCCCCCCCCCCCCCCCCCTCCCCCCCCCCCCCCCTCCCCCCCCCCCCCCCCCCCCCCCCCCCCCCACCCCACCCCCCCCAAAAAACCCTCAATCCCTTTACATACTGCCCCACCCTAAGCGGGTCCGAGTTGAGCAATACCCTCGAATGCCGGATCGAGGGCAGAGGGGGATGCCAGATTTTTGTGACCCTGGGCGGGGGGGTCGAAAATACTATCCTCTGGTATTGACATGTTGGATTGACGGTGCATGTTGCGAGGGTGCCTTTCCAGATTTTTCCCGATGCCAGAAGTTGAAGCAAGACGTCACGGGTGTTGTCTTCTTTTCCTACAATCCTACCAAACCTTTAGGAAAAGCACCCTAAACGCACAGAATAAATCCTCAACCCCCGTGAGTTCTTCCGCAGGTGCTGACCAACGCCTCCGACGAGGGCCTGGACACCGCCTCGGGGGGGGCTTTAAGGTTAGGGTTTCAAGGGGAAGAAATGCTCTCGCATGACACGCACGACATTGTCCTTCCGGCGTGCACCTTTCGTCCTCATTTGCTGTACACCACTATCAGAGCGTTAGCCATGTTTGAAGTCGTGTCTCAGTGGCTAGCAACCGTGCAGCAGCGGGCTGTGTTATCAGTGCATTGCTGCATTGCGACTAGGTTCATGTTCCTGCGGGGGATCTCCTTCTTGAAGAGATGGCTCGTGATACCTGGGTGGAATCTGAATCTGGCTTGCCCTAGCCAATTTTGTCCTTAAACCCTAAACCTTAAACCCTAAACCGTGCTTGCAAAAGGGGGCCTAGGGCTTAGGGATTTGCACGGGAACCGTGCAGGAGCTGGACCTCAAACAAAGCTTCCCGGCGCCACTTCCGGCGGGCCAGTGCCGTGGCTGCCTAACTCTCTGAGACCCCGACTAGGGTTAGGGTATAAGGTTTAGGGTTCAGGGTTTAGGGTCCCTAACTATCCTGCAACAACCCGAAACCCCAAGCCCGAAACGGAAGCCCCGAATTCGGAGCCCTACTTGGTAGCTGCCCCCAAAGCCCAGACAAAATAGAAGTAAACGCACACACCTGCCATAAGAATTCTCTCCATGTGCTTTGAAAGCTTGGGGATCCTCACTTGGTTTCCTTCCTCAAGCAGGGTCTCCGCTTTTCTGAGATGCACTTTCCGCCTGAGTAGGTAACCTGCAATGGCGGCTGTGGACTAGAAGTCTCAACTCCCTTGGCAAACTAAAACGTCAACCTTGTCCTCCCCAAAGCCCAGCCAGGCTCAAGGATTTCCCCAAACGGAAGCAGAGTCATGGAACCCAAGCGCAAGACTTGTCCAACGGCCTTCCACCACACTGCATATCACTGCATGTTGCAAAAGTTCGACCCTTGCCGACAGCATCTTTTGCAACTAGGCTGGCTGGGTTCGACTCCGAACAGCACTCCTGTAGGTGCAGCGTAGAGCCAAGTGAAAAGTCAGGATCAAGAGGGCATGTAGGGCTCCTCCTCGAAGGCTTGCACATCTGTTATCATAGTGTGTAAGACAAGGTTGCAAGTCCAAAAGGCCAAAAGGGCGTCGTGTAGCTTGTCCGGACGTCGGCTCGGGTATTGGGTTTAGGGTGTATACTTCGGCTTCATTCTTCTGGCACTGGCCGCACACTGTGCGCCTCCACACGGAGTGGGATCACCCGAAGCCCTAAACCCTACCCTAAACCCTAAACCTCAGTGCAAGGTCCATGGTGCATCACTGGCCAGTCTCAGCTGGGGCGCCTTGGCTTAATGGAGACGAAGACAGAGCTTGTATAGGCCCTGGGCCCAGTGTGGTGGACCTATATGCCCTAACCTGAGACCGGCTATTTACAGTCCATGCATCGTTCATCCAGCGTGGTCGAAGGAAACCTCCAGGGCGGATTGCCAGGCCATATATATATATATACATATATATATACACCTATATCTCTATATATATATATATATTTATGTTTGTATGTACACATTCTGCTACATTTTGTGTACGCTGCTTGCGTATTTTACAGCAGCTATAGCATGTACATATATATATATATATATAAGCTCACCCCCCCAATGGACCCACCGCGGGGGGGAGCCGAGTCCTAGCCAGATCAAGGGGAAAACAACAAAACAAGAAACTAGGTTTAAACCTTCACACTACAAAGTTTAAGTGTGTTAATGACAAATTAATTACATACTTAGGTTTAAATGCCTAGTCTTTGCCCCAAACCTTTAAACCTTAACCCTATAGGGTTTAAAGGTTAAGGGTTTATTGTTAATTGCCGTCTTAGGTTTAAATGCCTGAATCTTAAACCCTAAAACTTTCAACCTTCACCCTATAGGGTTTAAAGGTTAAGGGTTTCGGTTTAATTGCAAGCTTAGATTTAAATGTCTAAGTAAAGAATCCTAAACCTGTAAATCTTATCCCTATAGGGTTTAAGGTTCAGGGTTCAATATGAACTGCCGGCATAGGTCTACATACCTAAACCTTAAACTTAAACCCTAAACCATTAAATATCTTAACCCTTTTGGGTTTTAAGGTTAAAGGCTTAGCGTTAATTGCCGGAATCGGTTTAGATGCCTAAAACTTAAGCCCGAAACCTTTAAACCTTAGCCCAACAGGGTTTAAAGGTTAAGGGTTTAAAATTAATTGAAGTCTGAGATACATGCTTAAACCTTAAAGCCTAAACCTTTAAAATCTTAACCCTACAGGGTTTAAAGGTTAAGGGCTTGGCTACAGGTTTAAATGGCTAAATCTTAAACCCCAAGCCTTTAAACCTTAACCTTACAGGGTTTAAAGGTTAAGGGTTTAAATTTAGTTGCAGGCTTAGGTTTAAATGCCTACATCTTAAACCCTAAACCTGTAAAAATCTTAACCCTATAGAATTCAAAGGTTAAGGGCTTAGGGTTTAATTGCCGGCATTGGTTCAAATGCCTAAATCTTAAACCCTTAACCTTGAAACCTCAACCCTACAGGGTTTAAAGGTTAAGGGTGTTTTTTTTGCAGGCTTAGGTTTAAATGCCTAAATCTTAAATCATAAACAAAAGCCAACAGAAAGAAAAACCCTCCGTGTGTGTGTGTGTGTGAGAGAGTGAATTAAGGAATACAGTCACAAATCCGGTCACCGGAAAATCACCAGACAGCATAGGTTTTATCGGTATTTGCGGTACTTTTGCAAAGATCAAGGCCCGCGGTGGGTCCATTGGGGGGGGGGTGACCATATATATACATACATACATACATACACACTTATTAAGTGCTATTTGTTCATTCGATATTCTCTTTACATTCAGAGAAGACTTTTCAGCTCGCACGAGGACTCCGACGCGCCAACCTGTGTCGTGCGGTTTCGGCCAACCTCGCTGCTCGGACACGAGGGTGCTTTTTCCTCCTGGTTCTTAGTAGGGATTGAGGGAATGAGGGCCCTTACTATACAAGGGCCCTCATTCCCTCATTGCCTACCAGGAACCAGCCAGTTCTGTTGTAAAGACCGGGGGGTTGGGGTGCGAAAGGAGGGTGCCTCGCGTGCCACGCAAACCTTAAATCTCACCTCAGCTTTGAAGGTATAGGGCTTCTCAGACTTGAAGCCCTTAACCTTACACCCCATAAGCCCTGAATCCCACAGACAAATCCTGCACCCTATCGTGCGCCTGTATACAAAAAACTTCAAAAAACCCTTGAATTGTAGAGTTCGGACCCCAGAAACCCCAAGGGCCCCAAATCTTACAGCTCCCACGGCAGGTACATGGTCCCTTAATCTGGTCCCTTGCCTTCTTTAAAAGGGGTTCTGATGTATGGGCCCTGGGGTTGTATAGCGTATAAAAGGGGTCTGTTAGGGGTCCCCTCTTTAGCGCCCATATGCAAGACTTTGTAACTACCCCAAGAAGTTCGGACCCTAAACCCCAAACCCTAAACCCTGCAAGGTCCGCTTCCTACGCGTGGTCCGGCAAAGACCCTGGGCTGCTAAGTTTACCAAAGAGCCCAATACCCCTTAGTGAAGGGGTATTGGGTTTAGGGCTTAGGGTTCAGAGTTTTTTTTGCATAGAGATCCTTAATCTGAATTTAAGGTATATTCCCGAAATTAAGGGGTCTTGGGCCCTTTGGGTGACGGGTTATTAGGAGGGTTCTGCTGTAGGGCTCATTTGTGTTTGGGGAGGTTGTCATAGCTTTTTATTGTGTTGTGCAAGGTACCGGATTGGTTAGTAGGTTCTGCTGTAGGGTTCATTTCTCTTTGGGAGGGTTGCTATAGGCTTTTTGTGTTGGGTTGTTTAAGTTTGTGTGTTAGAGGATTTATAGTGTCTGTAGGATTTACAGGGTTTAGAGGGTGTTTAGAGGCGTTGGGGATACTGTGGACTGGCACGTCTTCGGGAAATGCCCTGGCACAGGTGCTCTGCGGTGATGCCACCGCAGGCGGCACATCTTTCGCGATTCCTACAGGCATCCAGCTCTTGAACCCTAAACTCCTAAATCCCTAAACCCCAAACCCCAAAACCCTAAACCCTAAATCCTAAACCCTAAACCCCCGGGATCCTGCGAACAGGATCCCAATGAGCTGAGAGCTGACGGAGTAGTTTGAAGTCTGCTGACAGGGGCAGTACGCCTGTGCAACCGACAGACATGTTCTAGGCATACTATATATGGAAGTAGAGATGGAGAGATGTGAAAATGATTGTAATACAAATATATATATATATACATATATATATATACATGTGCAGACTCATTTACCTTTCAAAGCTCAGCCTGCGTAAGTCCAGCAGACGTGACTTACGGTTTAGGGTTGTTAACGTGGCCATTTGTGAGCGCATCCTCCTTCAGGACTTCCTGCGTGTGAGCCCTAAACCCAAAATCCTCCCTCTCGAACAGTATCGAGGTACCACCGGCTTTCCTTAGAGCCTGCTGCGTGCGAGTGGAGTCGAACCAAAACACCCGAAACCCTAAACCCCAAACCCTCTCCCCCGCCCAAAAAAAAAAATCCTCAACGCCCTGCAGGCCAGATGGCCCTGCCAAAGAAGGCCGGCAAGCAGATTGCCGAGATGTGGACCGTCGAGGCAGGGGCTTGCAGCAGTTTAGGGTTTAGGGTTTGGGGTTTCAAGGATGTATGCATTACTGTACGGCGTTTGCCTAGACAGAAAGTTTGTCGAAGGCCTTTCCCAGCTGACTTGGTTTCAAGGATGCAAGCCCTGTAAACAATCAATCCTTCAATCCTTGCCTTTCGCTGCACCCTGGAACCTTGCCATTCCCTGCACCTTGGGCACCCTAAAAGGTTGGGTCCGGGGGCGGGGCCTTAGTTCGGCTGCGGACTGTAGCACCGCCACTGTCTCACACACGTCTGCACTCCACCGACTCACAAAGGGTTTAGGGGTTTAGGGTTGAGGGTTTAGGGCATGAGCAGCAAGGAGTCCAGTTGCAAAAAAGGGCATGAGCAGGGATGATCGCAGCATGGGGTAAATGACCCCACTTGGTCCCCAAGGCAATCCTACAACACCAAGCCTGAAACACCCATACATCCCATGGATGCGCCTACTTGGTAGCCCAGGGTACCCTTTTGCATTTTTTTGCGTTCTGGGTTCCCTTCTAACATGACCAAGGACAAAAAGGGTACCCTTATTGCAATATGGTTACTGGTCTAGCAAGCCGATACTCGCAGCCTTAGAGCAAAAAGGCGCGCCCTAAACCCTAAACCCTAAACCCTAAACCCTAAACCCTAAACCCTAAACCCTAAACCCTAAACCCTAAACCCTAAACCCTAAACCCTAAACCCTAAACCCTAAACCCTAAACCCCGAACCGAGGTGTCCCCTGCTCGCGGCGCGGTGGCCGTAACCTTCCGGAAGCACTCGGCAGCTGGGGCGCCCTAAACCCCTAAAACGTTTGGGGTTACATAGGGTTTAAATAGGGTTTTGGGTTTACTAAACCCTAAACCCCCTAAACCCTAAACCCCTATAGGTTTAGGGTTTAAGGTTAAACAGCCTGGCGTCCCGGAGTCCGCCTTTCTGTGAAGTTGGAAGCCCTGTAGGCAGGATCTAGCAGTTTAGGGTCTATAGGCCTTTGGGCTTTGACCTGATGGTGCGGTAGGTCGGTGAGAGCGGCTCGACTTCTCTTGCAGCAACTCCGAAGACCAAAAATGACAACAAACCATAATCTTGGGAAGCCCTGAGCGCAGAGGTTTCGGACAGGTATTGGCTTTATAAAGGCCGGTGGCCTCTTTGTCTGTTACCCTCATACCTGAATATAGCCCTTATAAGAACCCCCTATAAACCAGAAACCCTACTTAAAGAGACCGCCAACCCATATAACATTGGCTTCAAGTTTTTGGCTCCATAGACCTTCAACTGCCAGATGCCAACCGGGAGGCCATCCCCTTTCATGGAAACCTTCCATAATGAAGGTCCTTGTACGAGTTCGGTCCTCCCCAAAAGGGGCTCTATGTTGGAAGCCAACCGTGGACCTCCAGCTACTGTATATCACAGGAGGGGCCCCCTATAAGGGTTTCAGGCTCTGACAAAAACTCATGCCCCTTGTCGTCCAAGGCTTTTGTCGCTGCCAACCGCTCCACTCACATGCGTGCCTGCATGGAATTGCGTCCGAGGGGCCTAGAGGCAGGGGTGGGCCCTGAACCCTAGAAAAAGCACCTTCCGAGGTGTGGGGTAGCCTTGGGCTTTGGTGAGAGGGTTGGGTTTAGGGGTTTAAGGGTTTAGATGAGGTTTAATGAAGACAAGGCTCGAAATTTGGTTTACTAGGACCCAGAGTAGGCCCTCATTCTCCCTTTTTTGGGTTTAGGTTCCCTTCTAAACACCTTCAAATAGGATACCCTGTTTATTCCTGGGTTACTCTTGGGCCTAGTTGGGTTCATTCAGTCCTGGACGAGGCCAAACAATCCAAGCTGCGCGCTCTCAAACTTTTGACCGCCCTTCTTCTGTAACGACCCTATAAACATCCCTAAAGCTTTTGTAGCCCAGAGGTACCCTTTTCACCTTTTTTGGTTCAAGGTTCCCCTATAAAGAAACCAACCCCAAAAAGGGTACCCTTATTGTAATATGGTGCCTGGGCTACCAAGAAGCCTGAACCCCAAACCTTGCGCCGTGCCTGCTTGTTGCGAGTGCGAGAGTCGAACCCTAAACCCTAAACCCTAAACCCTAAACCCTAAACCCTAAACCCTAAACCCTAAACCCTAAACCCTAAACCCAAAGATGCTAGACGGCAGGCCTGCCTCAGCAACTTCATCGTGCGGTCTGGGGAGGACGTCGAGTATGGCTGGTCCGAGCCACATCAGGAGCCAGGGCCCTTTCATGGTTTAGGGTTTCAGGGCCTGAGGGTGCTGAGTCCTGGCATGAAGCAGTGTCCAGGTTCAAGAAAGGGGTACTGTATACCTAAGTAGCCCCTAAACAACCTCCCAAATAAACCCCAAGGTCCCTTATAAGGGTCCCTCCTTTAGTCCCTAGAGACTTGTCATGCTGCAGTTGCCCAACGAGCCCAATCTACATTTCACGTCCGACTCTTCAACAGTTTGTTGCTGAGTTGCTCGTGCAAGCGTAGTCTTCTATTTCCAAAAAGACAAGAGGCCGTAAGACCTCAGTATCGGCTTCGAGTTAGGGTTGCAAAGCTGAAAGGCTGCCCCGAAAGCATTCACATATAACCCCTATTATATATATATTCATTTATTTACTTATATTCATTTATTTATTTATTTAGACACCTTATGTAGTCCCCATTTGCCTAAGTGGCCCCTCAATTGCCCCTGAGGTTCCTTATAGCCCCTTGGGAGAACCTGCAGGATGGGCCAAAGACGAGCCACAGCGTCGACATCTTCTTGCACGTGAACGGGTACAATGGCCAGCAGACGAAGAAGATTGAGGCACCGGTAGGGTGCTTGTAAGGTCCACAAGATCAACCCTAAACCAAAAGACCTTTAAACCCTAAAACCCTAAACCCTAAAACCCTAAATCCCTAAATCCCTAAACCAAAAAACCCTTAAACCCTAAATCCCTACACCCCTAAACCCTAAAACCCTAAAACCCTAAATCCCTAAATCCCTAAATCCCTAAAACCCTAAAACCCTACAACCCTAGAACCCTAGAACCCTAAAAACCCTAGAACCCTAAAACCCTAAAGCCCCAGAACCCTAGAACCCTAGAACCCTAAAACCCTAAACCCCTAGAACCCTAAACCCTAAAACCCTAAAACCCTAAACCCAACTTCTTGGGTTGACCGATTCAACAGTGAGTCCTCCGCATGCCCAGAGGCACACAGATGGGTTTAGGGTTTAGGATTTAGGGTTCAGGGTTTACTAGAGTTTAGGGTTTAGGGTTTAGGGTTTAGGTCTTGGGACAGGATCCAAGGGGGGGCGAGGGGGGGGGGGGGGGCGTCTCGCGGAGTCCCGCACAGTCGCTTTGCAGCTTCTTCTTTGAGCTGCTCACCCTAAACCCTAAACCCTAGCCCTAAACCCTAAACCCTAAACCTTTTCCAGCTCCCGGAGGTCCCTGACGTCCGACGTACCCAGCACCTGAACCACCGAGAGCTGGGCCTGACACTGACTCTGGGTCAGACAGGCTCGGGGTTCGGGGTTTGGGGTTTAGGGTTTAGGGTTTAGGGTTTAAAGGTTTGGGGGAGTCAGGGTTTGCGGCGTGGGAGATGAGGGGGGCTTAGCGATTGGAGCTTTGCTTTAGGCCTATAGGTTTCGGGCTCAGGTTTAGAATGAGCGGTCACGGTGCTCAAAGCGCTTGGAGTGGCGGAACGGAGTGCGAGGTGGATGATATGGTATCCGGATGCGAATGTTTGGCAGTCAGCATCCCTAAAACCTTCACCCTAAGCCCTAAACCCTAAACCCGAAAAGTGCTTTTAACAAAAATGTTCACGAACCCAGCCCTGGACGATAACCCAGCTGATGCGCAGGAACTGGCTCCATGCTGATGCTGGAAGATCTGAAGGCCTCCTACAAACCTAAAGTTTGTGGCAGGACTTTTTTCTACACCTTCTTCTTCTTTACCCTGTTTGATCAGCGGGCTTCAGCCAGTCTTCTTAGAGAGAGAGAGAGACAGAGAGAGAGAGAGAGAGAGAGAGAGAGAGAGAGAGAAAGAGAGAGAGAGAGAGAGCCAGAGAGAGAGCGAGAGCGAGAGAGCGTGAGCGCGGGAGAGAGAGAGAGAGAGAGCGCGCGCGCATGTGTGTGTGTGTGTGTGTGTGTGTGTTCGTGTGTTCGTGTGTTCGTGTGTTCGTGTGTTTGTGTGTTCGTGTGTTCGTGTGTTCGTGCGTTCGTGCGTTCGTGTGTTCGTGCGTTCGTGCGTGCGTGTGTTCGTGTGTTCGTGTGTTGGTGTGTTCGTGTGTTGGTGTGTTCGTGTGTTCGTGAGTTGGTGTGTTTGTGTGTTCGTGTGTTTGTGTGTTTGTGTGTTTGTGGGTTTGTGCGTTTGTGCGTTTGTGTGCTTGTGTGCTTGTGTGTTTGTGTGTTGTGTCTCTCTGTCTGTGTGTGTGTGTTTGTGTGTGCGTGGGTGTGTGTGTGTGTAAATGTGTTTGTGTTTGTGTTTGTGCTTGTGCTTGTGTTTGTGTTTGTTTGTGTGTGTGTGTGTGTGTGTGTGTGTGAATGTGTTTGTTTTGTTGGTTGGTTGTTTTCGGCTTGGCCCAGAATGTGGGTCTTGGCGCTTCGCACATCTTCCTCTTCGCGTGTGGTGTGCCGAGAGCCCCCGCTTGTGTTCCGAAACTTTTGTTGACATGTGGCCTTGCTGAAGACTTGAAGAGCTTTTGCTGTAGGGATTTGAAAAGAGAGAGCTACATGCCGGGTTTTTGTTCAGGATTAACGTTGATTCAGAAGTATGCCCGCCAATGGACGTCTACAAGCTCTCAGCTTCACTCCCTGCCATAGGAGGTCCGACGCTCCGGGCAAGAGAGCCCGCCCAAGGCTGCGGCGAACCTTGGACCATGGGGTTTAGGCTTTGGGGTTTAGGGTTAAACCCTAAACCCTATACCCTAAACCCCTCAGCCTAAACCTCAGGACCAACAAGAACGCTAAAACCGAAGAGCCTTAAACCCTCTTAGCCCGATATACCCCTAAGCACCCGAAATCCATAAACTCCCCAAACCCCAACACCCCCAACACCCCCTCCTGACTCCCACCCTCAACCCTCAACCCCAAACCCTTATAAACTCTAAACCCGACACACCCTTTATAAACTGTAAACCCTAATCCCTTCGAAGCTCAGGAACCTGGGCCCGAGCTCCACGATGCACCTCGAGGCGGAGTCTGGCCCAAGTCTTCAATCTCTCCCCCCCCCCCCCCCCCAGAATAGACGGGGTTTTCCCGGCACACTCACCCAAGCCTGGATGCAACAAAATGGGGGGGGGGGGGGGGGTGGCTTAAACGTTTTGTGGGGTTCCGAGGGTCGCTTGGGCTCATGGGTTTGGGGTTGAGCGTGTCGCAGTCCCAGCTTGCCCTGGAACAAGACTGGGTTCAAAAGGACTTGGGGCAAAATGGCCTGAGGGGTGTAAACCCCAAACCATCCGAAAACCCTAAGCCCTACCTAAAGCCCCCTTATTACAGAGAAGGCTTACTTGTATTGCCGAAGGCAGGGCGAGGAACGCCCCTCCGCTTTTGTTTAAAGATTATTCTTCTGGTCTGGGGCAGAAAGCAGTACAGGCATGAGACCAACCCCTAAACCCTAAGCCCTAAGCATCCCTAAGCCCTAAACCCTAAACCCTAAACCCTAAACCCTAAACCCTAAACCCTAAACCCTAAGCCCTAAGCATCCCTAAGCCCTAAGCATCCCTAAGCCCTAAACCCTAAACCCTAATCCGCATGGCTGAAAGGTCAAGATCAGCAAAGCGGGCATCTCCATTATCGAGGAGAAGCCTCCACCAGGCCCTCCGCGTCATAGGCTAAGGCTTTGTAGGGTTAAGGGTTTAGGGGTTTAGGGGTTTGGGGGTTTGGGGGTTTAGGGGTTTAGGGGTTTAGGGGTTTAGGGGTTTAGGGGTTTAGGGGTTTAGGGTTTAGGGTATTCCAGGTCAGTGTGGCATGCTTTCGGTGAGAATCTTGGTGCTTGTTTAGGGTGACCTAGTTCAGGGCTTTGTGACAAGGGCACGGTTCTGGGAGCTTCTCGTCACGAGTACGAGGGAGCGCGGGGAGCCTGGCCGGGCGAGGTATCGAAGCCCGTTGCAACAGGGTTTAGGGTAACCGGCCTTTATCGTTAAGGCTTTAGGGGGGATGTGGACCCTACCTTAATAACCCAAAACTTGGCGGTAGGTTACCTAAGAATCCGCCCTGTAGACCCCAAACGTTTCAGAACACAGTCCTGAAGCCCAAATGCCCCATTCCCATTGGCGTCGAAGCTCTGTGCACGACCTCTACAAAACCCGATGAACCCTCTAAGCCCCGTCTAGGGTTTAGGGAAGCCCCTAATTATGTTTAAGCCCTAAGCCCAAACCCTTACCTTTCTCGCCTCAAATATGTCCCCATGCTTCCCAGAACCTTCTCCGACCATGTCCCCAAACTCACCCTTCCCACCCCAAACTCCCGGTCGAAGCCTGCCGTCTTAAGCACCAGCCAAGCACGGAAGCCCCAGCTACAACCTTGAACCCTAAACCCTAAGCCCTAAGCCCTAAACCCTAAACCCTAAACCCTAAACCCTAAACCCTAAACCCTAAACCCTAAACCCTAAACCCTAAACCCTAAACCCTAAACCCTAAACCCTAAACCCTAAACCCTAAACCCTAACCCTAAACCCTAAACCCTAAACCCTAAAGGCCATATTATAAAACTACAAGCAGTTTGGGAATCGAAGGCGAGCTCCGCCCCCGGGAGCTGTTGTTCTGCAACCTCGTGGCTTGGCGCATTGCGTTTGCCAAGCTTCGAGTTTAGGGTCTGGGGTCGGGGGTTTAGGGTTAGGGTTTAGGGTTTAGGGTTTGGGGTTTGGGGTTTAGGGTTTAGGGTTTAGGGCGTTTAGGAACCCCCTTTTGAAGGCTTGAGGTAGGATTGCGGCAGGCACGTATCAAGGTTTAACATGTGGCCGCAATTCGCGGCTTGCAAAACCTGGCAAATGTGAGTTCTTGCTGCGTTTGCCACAAGCAATTGCCTGAGTATAGGGGTCGGAATAATTACTCATAGTATTCCTCAATAATAAACCCTCCAAAGCCCTACTATTCAGGCCCCCATATTAGCGTTGCAGCATCGCATGCTTGAGGCTAGCGGCTGTTCTCGTTGTATTGCAGGGATGCAAGCCAGATGCCCCCAATGCTCCTGAACATCCCCGATCAAACGTGGCTGCCACAGCGCGGATCAAGCTCAAGGTGTTTGTTTCGGTCTATGGATTCAAGGGTTTAGGGTTTAGGGTTTAGGGTTTAGGGTTTAGGGTTTAGGCATTGCGTTTGGGATGGAGTGCTCGGGGCGTAGGGAAATGGCTCGGGCAGGTTTCGATGGGGGCATCGCCAAGGGTAGACTTAGCTTTGAATGCTTCATCAACAAGGCTCCCGTGCGAAGCAGTGCCAGCAGGCCGCAACTGAAGAATGAGAACGGAGACACCACCCATCAAGCAAGAAAACCATTCTGGGGAACCAGATGAACCCTACAATTGGGCCATGCCCCCCATGCTGTTTTAATCCCGAAATTAATGTACGTGGACCATATAAGCCCTTCTGGGGTTCCCTTAGTCCTCAAGGATTCGCCAACTATTTGCTTAAGAACCCCAAAAGCATAAAGAATAGTAATCCCTATATTACCCTTAGTAAGTTTTTGACTTTTTCGGGGTTCTTACGCACGATTCTTGTAAGGACCTGGTGCGCGTTGACTGGCAGAAGGACTATCAGGACGGTCCATGTCCGGGGTGATCAAGCGTCGATCCCGGGCAGCCCGAAAACATTCGGTAGCTCGTCACCCTAAACCCTAAACCCTAAACCCTACACCCTAAACCCTAAACCCATCAGGACTCTTGAACAGTGTGTGCCTCGCCTTTCTTGTCCGAGTGTGAGCGATTAAACCCTAAACCCTAAACCCGCAGCAACCTTCCCTAAGCACCCGATGCCACGAGCCCGGCGATCGGTTTTTGAAGTCAGGCAGAGGTCAGAGGTTGGGTTCCTTTCTGTGGGGTTGGTCGGTTTAGGGTTTTGGGTGGCTCCAGTCCAGCAGAGTCAGAAGATGCAGGAGGCAAATCCCTAAACCCCTAAACCCCCAAACCCCAAACCCTTGGATGCAACCTTTGGGACTCTTGAGGTTTCCACATTCGTGGGATTTCCTGTGAGCAGTGGCAGGCTCAGACGCTGAAGCTCGCCATCTCGGGTGCGCAGGCCTGCGAGAGAATGCCACGATCACCCCTACTAAAGCCCCAGACACCCAACCCTGCAACCCTATAACCCTAAGCCCTAAACCCTATTAAGTTCTGTGAACCCCTTCGGTGTCTTTTTGTTTTCGTCCCCAGGGCGAAGGATTCGTGGCTTCTTCTTGTGCTATCAAGCACGGATAAGGCGACCAGCAACTCCAGGTTTAGGGCTGCTTTGCAAACCCTAAACCCTAAACCCTAAACCCTAAACCCTAAACCCTAAACCCTCATCACGAGTGGCCGTTCTTGGAGCAGGGTTCAGGGTTGAGGGATTCAGGGGACACCCAGCATGTAGGCTTGAGGGATGCAACAAAAGGGATTTAGGGGTTATGAGCCCAAAAAAAGAGGGAGGTGCGTGGCACTGCCTCACGTCCAGCCACAAAGGTGGATTGTCAACTTCCGGGCCGCAGCGACGGCGAGGCGGAGTGGGGAGAGAGGGCGTTCTGGCAGATGCCCAAATGATCTGAGCAGCTTCTTTGGGGGCTGTTTTGAGTAGTTTTTTTTTGGAAGATAGGTTCCCTTGTTTGGGTTCACTGGCGAGTCGCAGTAAAGGGGCCCTAGCTTAGAGAACTACCAGTTTTTTCTGGGCCACCTCGGGAGAATTCTGTGCTTGCAGATGTGCTCAAGCTCTGGGTATCAGGGACAGGCTGTGACAGAGCCATGAACATGGAGCAGCCGTTCAGCCGGCAATTGGATACCCTCCTGGCAAACGTGAGAGAGGATATCCTGCAGCAGCATGAGCACCACATGACTGTCCAAAGACTTCGCATGCGGGCCTTGGTCAGCAAGTCCGCGGAGTTTTCGTTCCGCTTGGATAGGCCGCCTGATGTGATCCGGGCACCAGGTCCCTGGAGGAAGTTGCAGCCTTGGGACTCGGAGCAATCCTGCAGAAGCTCCACTCGCTCAAGGGGCTCCAAAGAGAGGCTGGCTGCACGCCCTCACGAAGAAGGCCCTACATTGAAGGTCACTGAGCGCGTGTCAGCAGCGGATGTGAACGAAGTGGAGAGCCTCGAGCTTGCGCCCGAGCGCCATCCGGTTCCAGCGCTGGGAGATCAACCCAAGAAACTTTTCGCCAGTGCCTTCACCAAGCCCGAAAACCCTTCAATCGATACCCAGGAAGGCTCGTTCCGTAGCCTCGCCGGCGATGACTTTGGCAGACAGACATCCATGGAATCCATTGAAGAATCTGGAGAGTACGTGGAGGCCACTGCATCAATTCCAACCATTCCTGGCTTGACAGATGCGGAAGACGAGAAGAAGTTGCAGACGGGAGATGAGAAATCAGCTACATTCAAGGCCATGCGGCGCGAATCGGAGGAGAGCAAACGGGGCGACAGTCAGAGGGAAAGCAAAATTAGCTTCTTGGTAGCCCAGCGGTACCCTTTACCCGTTTTTTTGAGTTATGGGTTCCCTTAAAAAAATAACCAAACCCCCCAAAAAAGGGTGCCCTACCAAGGCTTCGATAGCAATGGATCTTTGCCATCCTTCTTCAAAGCGCCAGCGACCGGAACCTCGCAGTGGAAGGTTTTTCTGCAAGACAGCGAGTCGAGCCTTTCAGCGAACCGCTTCGCCAGGGTGTGGAACCTGTTTCTCAGGGATACTTGGGAGTAGTTTTTTTAAATTTTGGGGTCCTAGAATTCCTAAGAAGCAGCTACCATTGTGTGATTTTTGACCTTCAAGGTTCATCCTTCTCACCGTCTTTTTCTCCTTGACGCAGGCCATCGAGTCACCCGTGCTTGCAGGCGAGGCTGTGGGCTATGTGGAGGTGGTTATCGAGACGCTCTTCTTTATCGAGCTCTTGGCCCATGTTGTGCTGGAGGTTCACAAGGTGGCTTAGGGGTACTTGGAAGCATTTTTTTAATTGTTGGGTACTATAGTTAGTAAGAAACAGCATCACACAGTTCTTGCTGTGGTTTCAGTATAGGTAGCTCTTTTCCGAGATCCTCATTGCTATATTGACACGGCAGCTGTGCTGCCGATCATTCTACGGGTTGAGGCGGGCTTCTCCTTGCCTGCTCTCACGGAGCGGCCCTTCAGTCACTACGTTTTGGTTGGCGTTGTTCCCACGATGCGTCTGCTGAAGCTGACGCGCAGATTTGGCAAACTCAGCTTGGTCTCGCACGCGCTCAGCACCACGGGAGATGCATTGAAGTTGCTGCTTTTTCTCATATCAGTGATCGTGTTAAGCTTCTCTACTTTGATGTACATCGTCGAGCACCCCGACAATGTCGACTCCTTGAGCACTGCTATGTGGATTTGCACTGTCACTGTGACAACGGTCGGGTATGGAGACGTCACTCCTACGACGAATTTAGGGCGGATGCTCGCAGGGGTCCTTTGCTTTCTGTCCGTCCTTTTCATGGCCATGCCCATCTCGGTCCTCGGAAATGCCATGACACATGCTTGGGCAGACCGAAGCCGCATTCTGTTGATGACCCGGACGCGCCAACGACTCAAGAGCTATGGCTATGAAGCTAGTGACTTAGGGGTACTTGGGAAATAATCTTTATTTGTCTTTGGGGGGGGGGGGGGGGGTTACCATATAATCCCTAAGAAACCGCAAGAAATATGCAACTTTTCCTGGGGTTCCCAAGTTCAGTGTAGGTGACATGCCGTCGCTTTTCCGTAAGTTTGATAGCAACGGCAATGGCGAGCTCACGATGGATGAGTTCTGTGACATGATCTCAAAGATGAATGTTGCTTGCTAGCCCAGTGGGACCCTTTTTCTCCCTCTCTTTTGTTTTTTTTTTTTTTTTGGGGGGGGGGGGGGGGGGGGGGGAGGGGGTTCAAGGTTCCCTTATAAAGTAGCCAACCCAAAAAGGGGTGCCCTTATTTTAATATGGTTACTGGGCTACCAAGGTTGGCATTCGGCCATCAGAGGCTGAGGAGTTGTTCGAGCTCTTCGACGCAGATGCGAGTGGAGGTATTGATGACAGAGAATTCATGAAGGCCTTGTTCCCTGATGACTATCGCAGACTCTATATGAGAACCACGACCATAGCGACACTCTGAAGGCGCCCCAAGGCGCATCCTTCTTTTGTCGTCCTGAGAGTCATTTTCCCTGGCGCTGTTTTTTTAAAAGCCATCGAGCCTGGCTCTCGTTAAACATGGTTTCACCTTCTTTTTTCAAAAAGGTTTCACCATGAGTTTGCAAGGCCCATCGTGCTCATCAGCGGCAGCGATGAGGGCCCATTAAAGGAGATTCGAACTGCAAGGGTGTAGATGCCGGGCTCTTTAGTGCTGCGAGCATCTGCAAGAGTCGAAAGAAACAATGCTGGCCGTATATACGTTGAGCCCCAAACCCTCAAATCCTGAAATCCCAGATTCAAAGCCCTGACCCCACCACGCGTTTTGCTCACAATGCGGAAATGGCTCTTCCCTGTCTGCTGCTATTCCCACGCACATGTTTGCAAGTGAGCGCCTATTATAGAGGTCGGAACATTTACTACTAGTAAACCCTAATGGCCCCTTTATTATACTATAATAACCCCCCAAAACCCTATTCTAAATATTCAGGCCCCTATACCCTAAACCCCCTCAACCCTAAAGCCTAAACCCTAAACCCTATAAACCCTAAACCCTATTTTAATTTTTCAGGCCCCTATACTAGTTGCTAGTCAGCCCGTCCTGATTTGCGGCCAGGCGGCCCTTCGCCGTGGCGACGAGGTGAGCAGCCAGCTCCAGGACTCCGACACACCCATGGTTTAGGGTTTAGGGTTTAGGGTTCAGGGTTTAGGGTTCAGGGTTCAGGGTTCAGGGTTCAGGGTTTGGGGCTTGGGGTTTGGGGTTTAGGGTTTAGGGTTTAGGGTGTAGGGCGTGCGGGTTCGTAGGACCTTTGGCATTTGTTAATGTCGACCGGCCGCAGGGAAAGTGCACAACAAAGTGCACGGTTTGGGGAGGCCATGGGGTCTCGGATACGGGCTCGGTTGGAGCACAAGAAGTTCCGGGATTCGTAAAGTATCTCAAGGGCCCTCTTTTCAGTGGCCAGCGGCCTGACCATCGTCACCCACATCGTGATCAGGTTTCTGGCAAGCCCTAAACCCTAAACCCTAAACCCTAAACCCTAAACCCTAAACCCTAAACCCTAAACCCTAAACCCTAAACCCTAAACCCTAAACCCTAAACCCTAAACCCTAAACCCTAAACCCTAAACCCTAACCCTAAACCCTAAACCCTAAACCCAACACACGAGGAGTGGCCTGCCGTCGTTTTGGCCAACCGGGGAGAAGGCGACAAGGCGGGGAGATCCGATGTAGATGTCACTTGCAAGCATACAGAGTTTGGAACGAGCTGAGGGCTACGGCATGAGTTTCAAACAGCGCAAACGCTGAAGTCATAAGAGATCCGTACATGGCAGCGCAGTTGCGGAAGCTGCAATGTGCTGAGGCAGAGGCGCTAGAGTGCTCTTGGGACTTTATGTAGATTAGGCCATCCTGATCTACGGCATTCCTGGGAAAGCGCGGCCGCAAGTCCTTAAGATATATGCAAATCTTCCCCGAACATTGCGGCTGCCCAAACCGAAGCCAAAAGGGGGTTTACGAAAATAAGGGAACCCGACTACACCCCCAAATAGTAGGATTCCCGTGTAATCAGAGCCCAATAGCCCTAAACCCCGAACCAATAGCCCTAAACCCTAAACCCTCAACTCCCTAAACTCCCTAAACCCTAAAGGGTATCCCCCCCCCCCCCCCCTCAAAAGGCCTTCCTGGTGCTGGAGCTGAAGCGCGGAGTGTCGTCTTCGGGTGACTATTTGTTGCCTTTTGTGCCCCCTGGCTGGCTTAGTGCAAAAAAAGGGTTTAGGGTTGAGGGTTTCGGGTTCGACTCAAGGTGTTTCAAGTGCGGTTTTTAGGTGTAACTGCTTGTTTGACCTTTGGTTGGGCTTCCGACTCCTTCTGGGCACCCTTGCAAGCTACCAAGGACCCTAACGCTACACCCTAAACCCTCCGTGTCAACTAGGCGGGTGGCAAAAAACCAAACCTAAACCCTAAACCCTAAACTCAATCAACGGGCGGCAACAAAACACAATCAAGTTGCGACGTTGGCCACCACCGCAGTGCGGCCCCTAAGGAAGATTGCGATGGATTCCGTAGATTTGACCATTGATGATGGCTGGCTGGATCCACTCCAGGCACCGGGAGACGCTGGAGGAGGGACGTTCAAGCTTGAGGTTTCGGGTTTAGGGTTCAGGGTTCAGGGTCTTGGGTCCCTGCACACAGAGCCTGTCTGCCTTGCGATGATTGTAGGTCCCGAGGTCTTCGAATCTCGTGTTTGGCTCCCATGCCCAGGGAAGGTCATACCAAGGTTCCCTGGAGCTGGTACAAACATCCTCACCTAAACCCTAAACCCTAAACCCTAAACCCTAAACCCTAAACCCTAAACCCTGAACCCCTTGCAGTGGCCGGATGTTTTCAGCTCTCCCAGATCTGTACTCGTAGGATTAAGTGGTGGTATATACGGCTTCGGTGATGTTTCGTTGAGGTTTCTTGGGTTGATGGCGAGCTTTGGGAAAACGTTCAGCTCACATGCTTTGCTTTTGCTGCTATGGGGGCGTAGGTGTAGTCTATGTCACTTGCCGAAGAGAGCTTTATGAACAGTTTTGCAGGAAGCTAGGTCTCTGCGAAGGCACAGCGCAATCCAAGAAGGCAATGAGGATGACCAAAAACGCGACATCCAGTATACTAGGATCCCAGAGTAGGCCCGTATTCCTTTTTTTTGGTTTCTTCTAACACCTTTAAACCAAAAAGGGTACCCTTTCCTGGGCTTCTCTTGGGTCTAGTATATCAGGTTGCTGAAGTATGCTATCTTCGGCAAGCCAACGGAGGATTTTCCACTGAAAGCCAAGTCGATCAAGGCCCTGTAGACCCCTAATGAACAATTCTTTGTGGTCTTTTGGGGGCTCTACTCTGGGGGTTTGGTGACCCCTTTTCCCTTTTGTTCGTTCAAGGTTCCCTTTGAAGTAACCAACCCCCCGAAAAGGGTGCCCTCAATAGAATATGGCTTCGTTAAATGGTTCTGAAGTGTGGACCATTGGGTTGTATAGGGTATGGGGTATGTTAGGGGTCCCCTTTTTAAGGGCCCATATTAGGGGACCACGTAACTGGGGTATGAAGGGGTCCCCTTTTGAAGGGCCCATATTTAGAGACCATGTAGCGACCATCAGAGACACTGTCCACCTCACTGCCAGTCCTGGGCGGACCAGTTTCGAAGTGGCGCCTCGATGCGTCGAGGACCGGCGCCTCCCCTCTCGTAGGGTTTAGGGCTTCGGGTTTAATTTTGGGGCCCTAAACCCTGAACCTTTTGCAACAGGCTCTTGAGGTTTCGGATGTAGGGGACAAGGTTAGTGTTTAGGGTTGAAAGGCCGTGAGAGAGCCCTGGTTGAAGGGTTGAAAGGCCCTTCCTTCGTAAGGTTTCCGGGCTAACAGGCACTGCAGATGCTTGGGATGGTGCGGGAGGTGTTGAAGGGTGTTGCCCTAGCCCGCCCAGAGAAGCCAATCCTTCACTGAGGGTTTGTCTTCAAATTTCTGCAGTGGCGATCTCAGGACTAATATAGGGGTCGGAGTAGTTACCAATAGTATTCCATTTGGTCCCTTTATAATTTTACAATAATAACCCCCAAACCCTCTTCTAATTATTCAAGACCCATATATGATTCCCTACTTAACTGTATGGGGCCTAAGAAATATGGTGGATGGTAAAAGTTCGGCTCTTGGCCCCCATGGGCTCTTTTCTCAGAAGGGTGATCGGTTGGGGTCCCTCAGCCCCCGAAACAAGGACCCTGAAATAGTCATACATGTGTTGAACCTGTCAAAACGCCGAGCTTGTTCTCCTGCACTTTGTATCCTGACGTAAGACGTCTGAAGCTCCTCCGAAAACTTGACACCTACCCACTCCCCACCCAATCGTAAACCTCCTAAACCGCAAGCACTGTCAACCCTGAACGGAAGCACACCTAAACCCTAAACCCTAAACCCTAAACCCTAAACACCCTAAACCCTAAACCTTAAACCCTTAACCCTAAACCCAACCTACCCACATCAACTCATGTAACGCATGCAAGGCTTCCGATTCGCAGATGTGTCCAAAGTGGCGGGACGGCCGATTCTGGAAGGCACGCACCAGAGAGCTGAGCCTGTGTGTGAGTTCAGGGTTTAGGGGTTAGGGTTTAGGGTTTGAACGCCAATCACTGGGCTAGTTTGTTGTGCATGCATCTTGAGCTTAGGGGGCGGTGTGGCCAGAACAGTGCCCAGCTGATGCTCATGATGCTCGCCTCTTGGCTCGCCAAATGGCGCCAATCACTGGGGCAGTTTGTTCTGCAAGCGTCTGGAGCTTAGGGGGCTGTGTGGCCAGAACAATGCCCAGCTGATGCTCATGATGCTCGCGTCCTGGCTCGCCAAATTGCGCCAATCACTGGGGCAGTGTGTTCTGCAAGCGTCTGGAGTAGGGGGCTGTGTGGCCAGAACAATGCCCAGCTGATGCTCATGATGTTCGCCTCCTGGCTCGCCAAATGGCGCCAATCACTGGGCAGTTTGTTCTGCAAGCGTCTGGAGCTTAGGGGGCTGTGTGGCCAGAACAATGCCCAGCTGATGCTCATGATGCTCGCCTCCTGGCTCGCCAAATGGCGCCAATCACTGGGGCAGTTTGTTCTGCAAGCGTCTGGAGCTTAGGGGGCTGTGTGGCCAGAACTATGCCCAGCTGATGCTCATGCTCGCGTCCTGGCTCGCCAAATGGCGCCAATCACTGGGGCAGTTTGTTCTGCAAGCGTCTGGATCTTAGGGGGCTGTGGCCAGAACAATGCCCAGCTGATGCTCATGATGCTCGCGTCCTGGCTCGCCAAATTGCGCCAATCACTGGGGCAGTTTGTTCTGCAAGCGTCTGGAGCTTAGGGGGCTGTGTGGCCAGAACAATGCCCAGCTGATGCTCATGATGCTCGCGTCCTGGCTCGCCAAATTGCGCCAATCACTGGGGCAGTTTGTTCTGCAAGCGTCTGGAGTAGGGGGCTGTGTGGCCAGAACCATGCCCAGCTGATGCTCATGATGCTCGCCTCCTGGCTCGCCAAATGGCGCCAATCACTGGGGCAGTTTGTTCTGCAAGCGTCTGGAGCTTGGGGGGCTGTGTGGCCAGAACAATGCCCAGCTGATGCTCATGATGCTCGCGTCCTGGCTCGCCAAATTGCGCCAATCACTGGGGCAGTTTGTTCTGCAAGCGTCTGGAGCTTAGGGGGCGGTGTGGCCAGAACAGTGCCGAGCTGATGCTCATGATGCTCGCGTCCTGGTTTGCCAAATTGCGCCAATCACTGGCTGCAAGCGTCTGGAGCTTAGGGGGCTGTGTGGCCAGAACAATGCCCAGCTGATGCTCATGATGCTCGCCTCCTGGCTCGCCAAATTGCGCCAATCACTGGGGCAGTTGGTTCTGCAAGCGTCTGGAGTAGGGGGCGGTGTGGCCAGAACAATGCCCAGCTGACGCTCATGATGCTCGCGTCCTGGCTCGCCAAATTGCGCCAATCACTGGGGCAGTCCGTCTGGAGCTTAGTGGGCGGTGTGGCCAGAACAATGCGCAGCTGATGCTCATGATGCTCGCGTCCTGGCTCGCCAAATTGCGCCAATCACTGGGGCAGTTTGTTGTGCAAGCGTCTGGAGCTTAGAGGGCGGTGTGGCCAGAACAATGCCCAGCTGATGCTCATGATGTTCGCCTCCTGGTTCGCCAAATGGCACCAATCACTGGGGCAGTTTGTTCTGCAAACGTCTGGAGCTTAGGGGGCGGTGTGGCCAGAACAATGCCCAGCTGATGCTCATGATGCTCGCCTCCTGGCTCGCCAAATGGCGCCAATCACTGGGGCAGTTTGTTCTGCAAGCGTCTGGAGCTTAGGGGGCTGTGTGGCCAGAACAATGCCCAGCTGATGCTCATAATGCTCGCCTCCTGGCTCGCCAAAAGGCGCCAATCACTGGGGCAGTTTGTTCTGCAAGCGTCTGGAGCTTAGGGGGCCGTGTGGCCAGAACAATGCCCAGCTGACTCTCATGATGCTCGCCTCCTGGCTCGCCAAATGGCGCCCATCAGTGGGGCAGTTTTCTGCCAGCGTCTGGAGCTTAGGGGGCGGTGTGGCCAAAACAATGCCCAGCTGATGCTCATGATGCTCGCCTCCTGGCTCGCCAAATGGCGCCAATCACTGGGGAAGTTTGTTGTGCATTCGTCTGGAGCTTAGGGGGCGTTGTGGCCAGAACAATGCCCAGCTGATGCTCATGATGCTCGCCTCCTGGCTCGCCAAAAGGCGCCAATCACGGGGGCAGTTTATTCTGCAAGCGTCTGAGGCTTAGGGGCGGTGTGCCCAGAACAGTGCCCAGCTGATTAGCGGGCGGTGTGGCCAGAACAATGCCCAGCTGATGCTCATGATGCTCGCCTCCTGGCTCGCCAAATGGCGTCTGGAGCTTAGGGGGCGGTGTGGCCAGAACAATGCCCAGCTGATGCTCATGATGCTCGCCTCCTGGCTCGCCAAATGGCGCCAGTTTGTTGTGCAAGCGTCTGGAGCTTATTGGGCGGTGTGGCCAGAACAATGCCCAGCTGATGTTCCTGATGCTCGCCTCCTGGCTCGCCAAATGGCGCCAATCACTGGGGCAGTTTGTTCTGCAAGCGTCTGGAGCTTGGGGGCGGTGTGGCCCGAACAATGTCCAGCTGATGCTCATGATGCTCGCCTCCTGGCTCGCCAAATGGCGCCAATCACTGGGGCAGTTCGTTCTGCAAGCGTCTGGAGCTTAGGGGGCGGTGTGGCCAGAACAATGCCCAGCTGATGCTCATGATGCTCGCCTCCTGGCTCGCCAAATGGCGCCAATCACTGGGGCAGATTGTTCTGCAAGCGTCTGGAGCTTAGGGGGCGGTGTGGCCAGAACAAGGCCCAGCTGATGCTCATGATGCTCGCCTCCTGGCTCGCCAAATGGCGCCAATCACTGGGGCAGTTTGTTGTGCACGCGTCTGGAGCTTTGGGGGCGGTGTGGCCAGAACAGTGCCCAGCTGATGCTCATGATGCTCGCCTTTTGGCTCGCCAAATGGCGCCAATCACTGGGGCAGTTTGTTCTGCAAGCGTCTGGAGCTTAGGGGGCGGTGTGGCCAGAACAATGCCCAGCTGATGCTCATGATGCTCGCCTCCTGGCTCGCCAAATGGCGCCAATCACCGGGGCAGTTTGTTGTGCATGCGTCTGGAGCTTAGGGGGCGGTGTGGCCAGAACAATGCCCAGCTGATGCTCATGATGCTCGCCTCCTGGCTCGCCAACTGGCGCCAATCACTGGGGCAGTTGTGCAAGCGTCTGGAGCTTAGGGGGCGGTGTGGCCAGAACAGTGCCGAGCTGATGCTCATGATGCTCGCCTCCTGGCCAATCACTGGGGCAGATTGTTCTGCAAGCGTCTGGGGGCGGTGTGGCCAGAACAATGCCCAGCTGATGCTCATGATGCTCGCCTCCTGGCTCGCCAAATCACGCAGTCACTGCGGCAGTTTGTTGTGCACGCGTCTGGGGCGGGCGGTGCGGCCAGAACAATTCCCACCTGATGATGCTCGCCTGCTGGCTCGCCAAATGGCGCCAGTCACTGGGGCAGTTTGTTCTGCAAGCGTCTGGAGCTTTGGGGGGCGGTGTGGCCAGAACAATGCCCAGCTCGCGCCAATCACTGGGGCAGTTTGTTGTGCAAGCGTCTGGAGCTTAGGGGGCGGTGCGGCCAAAACCATGCCCAGCTGATGCTCATGATGCTCGCCTCCTGGCTCGCCAAATGGCGCCAATCACTGGGGCAGATTGTTCTGCAAGCGTCTGGAGCTTAGGGGGCGGTGTGGCCAGAACAATGCCCAGCTGATGCTCATGATGCTCGCCTCCTGGCTCGCCAAATAGCGCCACTCCTGGGGCAGTTTGTTGTGCAAGCGTCTGGAGCTTAGGGGGCGGTGTGGCCAGAACAATGCCCAGCTGATGCTCATGATGCTCGCCTCCTGGCTCGCCAAATGGCGCCAATCACTGGGGCAGTTTGTTCTGCAAGCGTCTGGAGCTTAGGGGGCGGTGTGGCCAGAACGCTGCCCAGCTGATGCTCATGATGCTCGCCTCCTGGCTCGCCAAATGGCGCCGATCACTGGGGCAGTTTGTTCTGCAAGCGTCTGGAGCTTCGGGGGCGGTGTGGCCAGAACAGTGCCGAGCTGATACTCATGATGCTCGCCTCCTGGCTCGTCAAATGGCGCCAGTCACTGGGGCAGTTTGTTCTGCAAGTGTCTGGAGCTTCGGGGCGGTGTGGCCAGAACAGTGCCGAGCTGATGCTCATGATGCTCGCCTCCTGGCTCGCCAAATGGCGCCAATCACTGGGCCAGTTGGTGAGAACAGTGCCCAGCTGATGCTCATGATGCTCGCCTCCTGGCTCGTCAAATGGCGCCAATCACTGGGGCAGTTTGTTCTGCAAGCGTCTGGAGCTTAGGGGGCTGTGTGGCCAGAACAATGCCCAGCTGATGCTCATGATGCTCGCCTCCTGGCTCGCCAAATGGCGCCAATCACTGGGGCAGCTTGTTCTGCAAGCGTCTGGAGCTTAGGGGCGGTGGCCAGAACAGTGCCCAGCTGATGCTCATGATGCTCGCCTCCTGGCTCGCCAAATGGCGCCAATCACTGGGGCAGTTTGTTCTGCAAGCGTCTGGAGCTTCGGGGGCGGTGTGGCCAGAACAGTGCCCAGCTGATGCTCATGATGCTCGCCTCTTGGCTCGTCAAATGGCGCCAATCACTGGGGCAGTTTTTTCTGCAAAGCGTCTGGAGCTTAGGGGGCGGTGTGGCCAGAACAGTGTCCAGCTGATGCTCGTGACGCCAAATGGCGCGAATGGCAGTTTGTTCTGCAAGCGTCTGGAGCTTAGGGGGCGGTGTGGCCAGAACAGCTCGCCTCCTGGCTCGCCAAATGGCGCCAATCACGGGGGCGGTGTGGCCAGAACAGTGCCCAGCTGATGCTCATGATGCTCGCCTCCTGGCGCCAAATGGCACCAATCACTGAGCCAGTTTGTTCTGCAAGCGTCTGGAGCTTAGTGGGCGGTGTGGCCAGAACAGTGCCCAGCTGATGCTCATGATGCTCGCCTCCTGGCTCAGCTGATGCTCATGATGCTCGCCTCCTGGCTCGTCAAATGGCGCCAATCACTGGGGCAGTTTGTTCTGCAAGCGTCTGGAGCTTAGGGGGCGGTGTGGCCAGAACAGTGCCGAGCTGATACTCATGATGCTCGCCTCCTGGCTCGCCAAATGGCGCCAATCACTGGGGCAGTTTGTTCTGCAAGCGTCTGGAGCTTAGGGGGCGCTGTGGCCAGAACAGTGCCAAGCTGATGCTCATGATGCTCGCCTCCTGGCTCGTCAAATGGCGCCAATCACTGGGGCAGTTTGTTCTGCAAGTGTCTGGACCTTAGGGGGCGGTGTGGCCAGAACAGTGCCCAGCTGATGCTCATGATGCTCGCTTCCTGGCTCGTCAAATGGCGCCAATCACTGGGGCAGTTTGTTCTGCAAGCGTCTGGAGCTTAGGGGGCGGTGTGGCCAGAACAGTGCCCAGCTGATGCTCATGATGCTCGCCTCCTGGCTCGCCAAATGGCGCCAATCACTGGGGCAGTTTGTTCTGCAAGCGTCTGGAGCTTAGGGGGCGGTGTGGCCAGAACAGTGCCCAGCTGATGCTCATGATGCTCGCCTCCTGGCTCGCCAAATGGCGCCAATCACTGGGGCAGTTTGTTCTGCAAGCGTCTGGAGCTTCGGGGGCGGTGTGGCCAGAACAGTGCCCAGCTGATGCTCATGATGCTCGCCTCCTGGCTCGCCAAATGGCGCCAATCACTGGGGCAGTTTGTTCTGCAAGCGTCTGGAGCTTCGGGGGCGGTGTGGCCAGAACAGTGCCCAGCTGATGCTCATGATGCTCGCCTCCTGGCTCGTCAAATGGCGCCAATCACTGGGGCAGTTTGTTCTGCAAGTGTCTGGAGCTTAGGGACCGGTGTGGCCAGAACAGTGCCCAGCTGATGCTCATGATGCTTGCCAGATGGCGCCAATCGCTGGGGCAGTTTGTTCTGCAAGCGTCTGGAGCTTAGGGGGCGGTGTGGCCGGAACAGTGCCGAGCTGATGCTCATGATGCTCGCCAAATGGCGCCAATCACTGGGGAGGTTTGTTCTGCAAACGTCTGGAGCTCTGGGGGGTTGTGTGGACAGAACATGACAGGACAATGCCCAGCTGATAGGCCCTAAAGCCTCAACCCTAAGTAAACCCTAAATCCAAGACCCTAGACCCTAGACCCTGGACCCTAGACCCTGGACCCGAAACCCTAAACCCTAAGCCCTAAGCCCTAAACCCTAAACCTTTTCCCTAAACCCTAAACCCTAAACCCTAAACCCTAAACCTTTTCCCTAAACCCTTTCCCTAAACCATAAACCCTAAACCCTAAACCCTAAACCCTAAACCCTAAACCCCAAACCCCAAACCCTAAACCCTAAACCCTAAACCCTAAACCCTAAACCCTAAACCCTAAACCCTGAACCCTAAACCCTAAACCCTAAACCCTAAACCCTACCCTCAAGCATTGCCATGGGCATGCCGGTGGTGAAGGGCAATGCCGCCGATGCAGGCTACGAGCCGCCGCCCCTTCCGGCTGTCGTCCAGGTGGACAACTTCTTCATCTCAAAGGCACGGGCACATGATACGGCTCAGGTTTGGGGCTTACGAATATACGTACATACATACATTCATACTTCCATACATACATATATATATATATGTATAGTTTATAGGCTTAGGGTTTAAGGGCGTCATCCAGGCGTGAACCAAGCAAGCCTGTGGCAAAAGCGTTCAAGAGCTCCGAGATAGCATTGAGTCAGGATTTCGGCATTGGATTGTTCACGGTCAGGGCCGGCTTGGGGCACCTTCAACCCTAAACCCGAAACCCTAAACCCTACACCCTACACCCTAAACCCTTTCATGGGTTCGGGGCTTGGCAGAGTGTCCCCTGATTCTGGGACTCTGGGCGCAAAACCCTTGCTTCCCCCAACGAGCCCACTGAACCTTTTAATGAAGGACTCTTTCCTTAAATTTCTATGGGGCATCGTAAACGCGACTAAACCCTAAACCCTAAACCCTAAACCCTAAACCCTAAACCCTAAACCCTAAACCCTAAACCCTAAACCCGAAAGAAATTCTCGAGGGGGGCCCTTCAGGTCGAGTTTACTGTCTGGTGCGCGCTGAAGCTCCGCACGGTGCGGTTCCTCCCGCAGTGGATACGCACAGCTCCCCGATAAGCAACACCCATCTACACCCTAAACCCGAAAATCCCCATGAACCCAATGAGCCCCAAACCCCCTCAAAAAGCCGGCAGTTGTGATGTGCTGCTGGGATGTGATTGCTCTTAGCCCCAAAGTCTTCCGGCATTTTTTTTTGGGTTGCCTGCCTTGCGTGAGTGCGCACGTCGAATCCCCGCAATCTTTGCTGTTTTTGCCCAAGTCCTGTGTTTGTCAAGGGGGCAAAGTAGGCAGAGTCTGAAGACGTCCTGCATCCACGGCGCCTTCCACAACCCATCTCGTCCTCTCCGTGGATCTGTTCTGTTGATGCCGTGGTTGTGTTGGCGGAAATATAGATGTCCCACGATCCATCCGACGGGCACTCTCTAGGCTAAACTCCTAGCTTTGTAGTCAACAAGAGTCTGTAGCAAGAGAGCCATTCATTCCGTGCAGGTGGCTTTACGTCATCATAGATCCACAACATGGGTGTTTTCCCAAATAGGGGTACCCTGAATATACCCCCAAATTAGTATAATGATAACCCCGAGTATAGGAACGCCCTCAAAAAGGTAACCCCTATCTACGGAACCCCCCAAATCGTTCTTCCAAATTCTCGAGCGAACCCTAAACCCCAAACCCTATACACCCTAAACCCAAACCCTAAACCCTAAAACCTAAAACCTAAACCCAAAACCCTAACAAGAGTCCTGCCAAGGCCATCCGAATGCTGTCCTTCTCTGGTCAGCTCACCCTCGACTGCGTTGATCTGAAGCTGCCGGAGCCTGCCTTGCCTAAGTCCTCAGGAGGTTTAGGGTTTAGGGTTTGGGGTTTAGGGTTTAGGGTCCTGAAGCAAAAAGGGTTTAGGGTTAAGGGTTTAGGGTTTATCTCTAGCCCCCTTAAGAATTATTTGTCTCAAGAGAGTTTTAAACATGAGATTTGTTTATAAAGGTTCTAAGGGGAGTGTAGTCAGTGGTTCATTGTGACGCACTTTCGAAGTCAGAGAGGAAGCTCAGTGAAGATACGTGCCAGGGAATGTCGGGGACCTCCGTATAGCATCTGAAGCCCACAAGTAGCATCTGAAGCCCACAAGTCCGGATTCAAGATAGCGGCACCAAAGCATGCGCTCGATACTACTTGAATACATACAGCCTCTCAAGACACTCACGGGTGGGAGTTGGGAGCATGCAAATGGTTTGCGGCCTAATTACGGGCCACAATATCTCTTTCCCGCTCTCTCTGCCCTACTCTGCCCTACCCTTCCCTACCTCTACTCTACTCTACTCTGCTCTACTCTCAAAACACACCTAGATGACTCCTGCGATCTGCAACGTACTGATTGCGGCTCACTTCACGTATGAAACCTCGAGCTGTGGACCCTCAACTCCCTGACCCGCGAACGGATAACTGCACCAAACAGCCTACGGAGCCCAAAGGAGCCCCTTCAGGCCCCCACTAAGCCCTAAACCCGAAGCCCTAAGCCCTCACACCCCCCCCCCCCCAAAGAGAAAAGAAAAACGAAAAGAAAAACAACCAAAAAAAATCAAAAAGATGCAGCAACAAAGCAAAAAGCAGGAGCGGAACATCCCTCCGCACCGCGGCTCCCTCAATGACTTCATCCGCGGGCTGGGCGCAATGTTCCCCGACTGGTCCCTTCAAGCGGGGGAGAACCCTAAACGCTGAACCCCAAGCCCCAAGCCCTTAACTTGCTGGGGTGTGTAGGGTTGAGGAGTTTAGGGTTTAGGGTTTAGGGTGAGATTTGGGGTGGAGGCGTCGAGTTCGGAGGCTTCTGAAGTTTGCTTCTCGCAGTTTTGGGACTCACGGGTATAGACTTCGGGTCGGTATAAGTAGGGATTAGCGTTCTAGTGATTCTGGTTTTAGGAAAACGGGTTTAGGGCTCTGAGGTTAAGGGTTTTTGGGTTTTTGAGTTTAGGGTTTCTGGGTTTTTGAGTTTAGGGTTTTTGGGTTTAGGGTTTAGCTACTTACGTCGAGTGGCACCAACTCCGGGCGAAGTGCCAAGCCTGTTGCAAAAGGGTTTTGGGCTCTGATTTCTGGCAAGATTGTCCGGAGCCCAATATTCAAAAAGGGCTCTCATCTTCTAATCTTTGTTGGTTCAGTAATCCCAGAGCCCCCCTCCCCCCCACCCACCCCTCAAGGTATGCAATGAATCTGCTCAGCCATGCTGGGGCCGTGCTGGGAAAGAGCTCTGCAGCCTGGAGCAAGATTGGGTTTAGGGTTTAGGGTTTGGGGTTCAGGGTTCAGGGTCCAGGGTTTCGGGTGGTGGTGGAGGGCTTACGGTGTTATTCATTAGTGCCTATAGTCATTATCAGGAATTTGCCCTCTGTTTTGCTCCAGAAACCTCCCATTACAAACTCCACGCATTGAAGGGCCGAGAGCGACAGTCTCAAGTCGTAAGCCCCAAGCCCCTCAAGCCCAGCCCGAAACCGAAATTATCAAGACCAATTTGTTTCCCACCTAAACCCTAAACCCGTGCGCAAGAGCGACCCTCTCGAAAGCCTAGACCCCCAGAGTCATAAGCTGCGGCTTCGGAGTTTAAGGCCTTCTTTGGTGTCTCATGACATCGTCAGACGCTGGGGGGGAGGTGCAGGCAACATCCTGTTTGGGGCTTATACAGGGCTGACTGGTGCTTAGAGGGGTTTACATGCTACAAGGGCAATCAAGCCAAGCAACTTGCCAAAGCAGGGCGGACTGCGGCAGGATAAGCTGCCGTAAGGGCGGTGTTATTTGCCCTCTAATGCCCAAGAAGCCCGGCACATGTTATCAGCGAAAATTGAGGCTGAATCTGCACAAGGCTGCGGGGCCTGAGCCCCAAACCTATGAACCCTGGGATGGCTCTGAAAGCTCGACTTGATCAGCCGTCTCGAGACCCGGGCAGATGGGCGTTTGCACTACTTAAGGCACAAAACTCCCATTTTTTTGCTTCGGCAACTCATGTCATGCAAGACAAGTTCGTCAAGTATCCCTAATGCGTCTCAAATCCGGCAATCCTGATCATCACATGTAGAATCAATGCTGACACCCGGGCTGCCAGTTCAACGGAGCAATCTGGGGGGAGACGAAGCTGGGCAATACCCCTTGCTAGCTTGAAGCCCTTACAAAGTGCCACAACGGCAACCGCAACCACAACCACACCTCAACCCTAAAACCCGCAAGCCCTCTGCCCACAATCTCAGTCTGCAAGGTTCTGAACCTGCCACGCGTGCCGCTGAGGATCCTGATGACCGGGAGCAGTTCCGGAGCTGGGAGAGAAGAGGGCTTAGTTGAGGGTTTAGGTTTTCGGGTTTCGAGCCGCTTTCGAATGTGAGGGTAGGTGGCCATTTGGGGTGGCTTCACGAAACACCCTCAGCCCTCTGGCAAGTTTGGTGCCAATGCCTGGTAGACTCCGTATCCCCCTAGCCTGAGAGCCCTCCACAAGGAAGGCAGAACACTTTAGGGCAACAGGCGCTGGCGATGAACGTGCATTCGCCTCAAATTGCAGTGAACCCCCCATCCCCCCAAAACCCAGCCCCCTAAACACTAGAACCCCTAAACCCCTAAACTCCTAAAACCCCTAGCCTAAACACCGAAAAACATTTTGGCCCCCTCCACTGCCCCTCCTGAAGTCGCTAAGCCCCAGCCGGAGCCGGAGCTCCAGGCTATGTGACTGATTCGTTCTCCTTGATGACTGGCGAGGTCGGGGTGGGGGTCGAGATGTCCTTGGTTGGTTGGAATTCCACAGTTTTTAGTATTTCGGTTTAGGGTTTCCCCAGGACGTGCTGAAAAACACTTCCGTTGGAGTAGGGCGCTAGCTCAGGGAGCGATCTTTGTGGATACCCCTGCTGCGAAAGAATAGCAGCACCGTCTCCGACGCTTTGCGGTTCTGTGCCCTCACGGTTGTCAGATCGTGACTGTAGTCATCGGCAGCATGCAGGATCTGCGCCACACCAGTTTTAAAGCAACTTGCAAGCTTACCCAGTGACATCCTAGAGGCCCTATTAAAGTGGTAGAAAGGCAGACGCAACAGCCCCCATACTGCACATACCTCAACCTTGAGAAAGGATGAACCTAGCAGCACTAGTGTCTACCGAATGCTTGGGAGGGGCCCACTGCTTTTAAGGGGCTTCTGGGTCTCCAAGTTCTCAAACCCGCACCTTCATATGCTGAACTGAAGACGGTTGAGGGCCAGAAAGTCCTTGCTGCCTCGGCCCTGACCTGCACTCGAAGCCCAGGGTCCTCCATGCGAAGAGTCCTTAAGCATCAAATGCCTGTGACAGTCGACTTTTGCCACTTGGAGCGCCGGCAAGACAAGGCACATAGTCATAGTCGTAAGCTCCGAGACACTTCCAGGCAATGCAGCACCCCCATGACTCTGCACGCGCGCGCGCGCGTGCTCGCGAGCGGCGTGCGTGAGCAAGGCTGCCTCGTTGCTCAGCACCCTGACGCTGGATGAGGAGCACCTCCCGACGCAAGCAAAGCAGGTCTGGGATGGTTTGGGGTTTCAGGCGACGTCCATGTGCCCTATAAGCACAGCGCAACGGCCGAAAATGGCGGTTGACCGTTTGATCTACATCTACATGGGGATCTGTGAAATGAGGGCTACCTTATTGGATTCCTTATGATAAGGGGATCCTACTATTTGGGGATCACCATGTTGGGGGTCCTCTATTTTCGGAAGTATTTTAATATACGACGAACAAGACCCGAAAATGGCTCATGTTTCAGATCAACCCTCAATCCAGAACTTTCCACCGCCAAGCCGACACCCACTTAGCACCTCGCATCTCACTGCCCAAGCTGAGCTACCCTAAACCATAAACCCAAAAAGCCCTAAACCCTAAACTGCCCTAAACCTTCCCGAAACGGAGTGTCCGTAGCCCCGGCATCCTGCAATGCAACCCCTTATGACCGGTTCAGGCATGGAGCCTTAAAACCCATATGGGGACTTCCAAAAACCAGGGGATACTTTGAGGGATTTGAGGGCTCCTAGAACAAGAACTGCTTAGAAGGTTGGCGGACTTCTTTGCTTTGAGCTCAAGCTCTGCAAGAAAAACGCACCGCTTAGACCCCTGAAACCCTAAGCGTGGCAGCTTCAAGCGGAAGGCAGAGACCACAAAAAGCCCCTTGCTTACCACAGGGGACTAATAGTATTCCCTTATGGTCCCTTTGCATTTATACTATAGTATTCCTCAAAGCCCTAAACCCTGAACCCTAAACCCTATTCTAATTATTAAGGCCCCTTGCTTACCCCGTCCGAGGTACATTGCCCGTCAGAGGCAGATCCGAAACGCCAAGCAGATCGAGCAGCTTGCATGAAGTTAAGCCCTAAACCCTAACCCTAAACCCTAAACCCTAAACCCTAAACCCCCTAAACCCCCTAATGTTGACCTCGTAATAATAACCCCCCCCCCCCCCTTCAATCAAACCCCCCCAAATAGAGTAGGGCCCCTTTGAATAAGGATTCCTTTCCTTAGAGCCCCCCTTCAATCAAACTCCCCCCAAAAAAACCAGCCCCGACTTGGCGTACTTTATTCCCAGGGCTTTATTATTGCGGCCGGGACCCCTGGCGCACTTTAATATCAGGGGGTTCAATAATACGAGGTTAACATTAAACCCTAAGCCCTAAACCCTAGTAGAGAACTGGTGAGCCCGTGGGTTGGGGAGCTGCATCAGTAGGGCAGGTGTCTTGATGAAATGCATGTGCTTTGGGGTGGGAGGCTCTTGCGGAATGCTGACCGAGGAGCATCCAAGATGGACTGGCTGAAGCCGGAAAGTCTTTGCAAGAAGGCCGCTTGACGGGAAGCAGGAGAGCCTATTTCAAGAGTGAGCGCATTAGGGTCACAGGCTAAGGCTGTGCATGCATCCGTCGAAATGTGACGTAGAGAGAAGCCAAGCTCGTGTATCAGAGAGCTAGAGAAGAGAGAGAGAGAGAGAGAGAGAGAGAGATAGAGAGAGGGAGAGAGAGAGTCCCAGCAGAAGAAGAGAGACTGAGTGAGAGATAGAAAGAGAGTTCCCTTTAACTCTCTTGGCCCGAAAATATGAAGAGAGTGAGAGAGTGAGGCTTCTGATGGCCTAGCTTAAGCGCCCTTTTCTGAATTACCACTTATCAATAGTGCTACTCGTAGCAACCACCGTTGCAGTTGTACTTGTTGTCACCAACGTGGTCATTGTGCAACCCTAAACCCTATACCCTATACCCTTTACCCTAAACCCTAAGCCAGCATTAGCAATGAGTCGAGGAATGGAGGGCCTGGCAGACATCGTCCGGGAGCCGATGAAGGGCGCTGAGCAGGATGGCGTTGCAGGCAAGGGGTTTAGGGGTTTGGGGTTTAGGGGTTTGGGGTTTAGGTTTAGGGTTTAGGTTTACCGTTGCTGCGTCCACTGCTTCGATGACACAAGCATGACACAAGCTCCTCCCGCCTCATTTCTACTGCTGTTGCTGCCGCTGCTATTTCCACTACTAGTCCGCCAGGGCTCCAATTCCTTTTACTGCGGCTATTACTCATTGCTGCGTACAGGCAGGCTGCATGACCGAATTGCCTGGATGTAAGAGCAATCTCCAGGTCACAACTCCCGGCATCCTAAACCCTGAACCTCCCCAAGTAAACCCTAAACCCTAAACCCTAGTCCCTAAACCCTAAACCCTAAACCCTAAACCCTAAACCCTAAACACTAAACCTCCCCAAGTCCTCCCGACCTTCTTTGGCTCCAAGGCTTCTTCGCCGGGTTGGGCAAAGGCCTCGTGGGCTCCTTCGTGAAGCCGGCCCATGGCTGAGAGTTCTTGCGAGGGTTTAGGGTTTAGGGTTTAGGGTTTAGGGTTTAGGGTTTAGGGTTTGGAGATGATAGCTAGGGATGATAGCTAGGGTTTGGAGATGATAACTTGGGATGTTCGCCCTTATAGTAACAGTCCTCAATAGGGATTATAGTACCCGCTAGTATAGTCCTATTAAGGACTGTTAGTATAGGGGGAAGCATCCCAAATCATAAGGACTAGCACAAGGGTCTGAAGGCGATTGAAAGAGCCTTATAAGGACCTTCGGAGATGATAGAAGCATGAACATAAGGGTTTTAAGGTGGTTTACAAGGAGTTTACAAGGAGTTTGAGGGAGTGTAAAGGGCTCAGGGTTTAGGGTTTAGGGTCTAGGGTTAGGGTTCACAAAGTTTGAAGTGTTTTTGGTCTTCTTGAAGCTCAAGGAAAGGCTCCCCTCGCAGACTTTCATCAGGGTAGGCTCGGTTCGTTTGTACGAGCTTGGAGACTTGGAGGTAGCTTTCGGGGAGGCATGATGGGATGCCGGTCTTTCCTTCCACCCATATCCCCCCTTGGGAATCATTTTTTTTATTTTTGTTTATATAAAACCCAAGAGGATGTTAAACATACTGCTTTTATTAAGGTTCTGGGAGTATAGCCACAGCTAGCTGCCAAGATTCTTATTTCATTCCCATCCCCAGCAAATGCCCAGGTTTCCAACGTTGGCATCGCTATCCGTGACGTGGGATCAGGCTCTGCCAGCGTTTGCACTGGCATGTTCGGCTGTTTTGTTTTAGTTTCCCCAGGTTCATATGCCGCAGCAAGACGGAAATTTGGCTGTGTTTGCGTGTAAGATCGCAAAGATCTCCTGTCGCCTACGTCGAGATCGCATTGCTGCAGCAGTGGCTGGTTGAAAAGCCCCCCGTCGTACGCCTGAGTTCTAACGTCGGTATCTCTTCAAAAGTTGCAGGCGTCGGCCTTCCGCGAACCCTGCTGCTTTGATGCGCGAGACTATACGAGAATAACATGACAGCTGCCTGAAAATGCCGTCGAATAGGGTTTCGAGATGCTCAGAGTCTAGGGCGCACACAGGCATTGCAAGCACCATCAATCCGGACACCAATGCCACGAAGCGCCGGCGGCGGCGCTTCCGTGAGAGGCAGGCAATGAGCCCGAAACCCTGAACCACACCCTATGTAAACCCAAACGACCCAAGCAGCGCGAAGACTTCCAGAACAGCCCAGCCCCTATAAGGGCAAGAGCAGCTGCAGTTGGGTTCGGCCTCAGAGCACAGGACGTTCTAGGACTTCGGCAAAAGCGAAACCCCTAAACCCTAAACCCTAAACCCTAGTTTGGACTCATCTGGCGGTCTAAGGACCTCCCTTGATGCCCCCCCAAGAAACAGTCACTGGATCCTCTTTGTGCCGGCAAAGCTTATCCTTTATAGGGTTTAGGGTTTAGGGTTTAGGATCCTGTTTGTGCCCCAACACTAAAGAGGGCATCAGTAGCCGGAATAGCAATGGAGCATGAGAATCCTTAAGCAAAACGAAGAGAGCCAAACTTGGTACGATTCGGGCATGGGGGCCAGGCTTATCTTCTCGGTATCGTTACGACTTCATCGGATGATCCCAGAAGGGCATCCCTAAACCCCTAAGCCAAAACCTGCAACACCCCTAAACCCTAAAAAAAACCCTAAACCCCGAACCCCTAAACCCCCTAAAACCCCTAACCCCTAAATCTCTAAACCCCTAAACCCCTAAACCCCTAAACCCCTGAACCCCTAAACCCCTAAACCCCTAAACCTCTAATCCTAAACTGAAGGCAGCCCCGCCTGCTCTTCGGGAAGCTGGGTGTCGTTCGCCCCTGGTGTGAACTGGAGGCTTGTGTAGTATACTTGGAGTCTAGAGCAGGAAGGGTTAAAGGTTGCAAAGGGATAACAAGGGTTCCAGTGGCTGCGCCAAACAAAGTTCAGAGTCTGTTCGGATCGTGCTGGGACGGCCGTTGGCCCAAAGGGCGAAAACTTGCCGGGGCTTCAGCGATGAATGCACTGGTGTGGGCCATACTCCAAATCCATTCCCAATATCAAGGACCCCGCTGCAGTCCCAAATGTGCCTAAACCCTAAACGCTAGATGCAGTGTGGTTGCGAGGCTGCTAGGCAGGTGGCAAAAAACCTAAACTCTAAACTCTGAACTCTAGACCCTGAACTCTAAACCCGAAACCCAAACCCTATCGAGTCCACAGGGAGACAGAAACTGGGGCGGGAGGGGGGTTGCCCACGGAGCACCGCGGAGGCGCAGCTCAACAAGCAGATCGGTGAGCTGCTGGTGTATGGTATCGAGGAGGTGCCTGGGTATTTAGGGTTTACGGTGTAGGGCTAGGGTTTAGGGTTTAGGGTTTAGGGTTTAGGGTTTAGGGTTTAGGGTTTAGGGTTTAGGGTTTAGGGTGTCTGGGTTCAAAAGGGTTGAGAGTGTAAATTGCGCCTTGGGATATTTAGGGTTTATGGCTTCGGGCTTGGCATATGTCATATCTTGCCTTCTGGGAATATCTATCCGAGGGTGAAGAGGGCCAACCTGGCAGGTGTTTATCAAATTGGGGGCCTCCTCGAAGGTCATGCCAGCTTTCGGTGGTCGCCTAGTTTGGCACGGGTTTTGGGCCCAGGGTCGCCTCTTCGCAGATAATCTATGCAGACATACATATACATATACATACACATATACATATATTCACATATATATATATATAAAGAAGTATATATATATATATATATTTATTTATTTATATGTATTCTTAGAGAGAGGCATGTGTACTTGTTTTTGCCGGTCAACCTGTGCTTTCACCGGGAGACGAAAAGCGAGCGAGAGAGAGAGAGAGAGAGAGAGAGAGAGAGAGAGAGAATGGGGATGAGATGGGACGAGATGGGGATGTTGGGGGATGGTGTTATGTCGGTATGTGGCATTGCTTCGGGGAGGTCGGAGACTTGAGCCCATCCACACAGTACCCTAAACCCTAAACCCTAAACCCTAAACCCTAAACCCTAAACCCTAAACCCTAATTAAAACACAGGGACACAGTGGAGGACATTCGAATATGAAGTAACTCCAGCCCTGTGTTGGCCGGTTTCACCTCCTGGATCACTGGAGCACGCTGTTCGGGACGACCCCTTTTTGGGGGTTTAGGGTTTAGGGTTTAGGGTTTAGGGTTTAGGGTTTAGGGTTTAGGGTTTAGGGAGGGAAGAGAGAGAAAGAAAGACTTTGCCGCCTCGCCGAAGAAGATCTACCAGCATCCTCCGAACACTGAGTGTGACAGTTGGTGTTTTGCTATCCGATGGGCGTAAGGAAGGTTGGCTCTCGATCTCAGCCCCACCCTTGTGTGCGCTGTACCTTAAGGGCTCTGTACCTATCTGTACCTGAGAGGTGATACCACTGACGTCTGGCACGAGGACGAAGAAGCTGGTCCTCTGCCTCTACCCAGAGCGAATGATGATCGTGGAGCTGAGGCACGGGTGGCCTGAAATATACCTGCGTTCTTTCGCTTCCTTTTTCGGGCTTGGACCTGAGGGTGCTTTCAGGTGCTCAGGAGTCAGAGGGCTTGGCTGTCCGAAGACCATCAGGGCACTTGAGCCCTCAAGTCCTCCTTTGCTCGAGGTTTGGGGATCCTCGTGGCGGCCACGAGGCAGGGTGCGTGAGGGCGGTCTAGGTCTCCAGCGCAGAGAGGGGCTTGATGTCCCGGAGCCGTGACTGTTTGTATAGGGTTTAGGGTTTAGGGTTTGGGGTTTAGGGTTTACCCTTTTACCTTTTTTGGGGTTCAAGGTTCCCTTATAAAGTAACCAACCCATAAAAGGGTGCCCAAAATATGGCTACTGGGCTACTAAGAGGCGGGATCCAGGAGTTTTTAAGCAGCCGGCATGCTGCATTGACAGGCAATGTCGTCTACCAGTGCGGCGGCGTTGGATCGTGATGAGGTGCTGATGAGCAAACCTCAAGACGTAGGCCTCAAATCCTTCGTGCTTCATGGTAGGGAAGAGGATTGGATAAGTTCGAAATCTTTAGGACTTGGGACTTAAGATTGTTTCAAGAATCCCCGTTCCCAAGTAGCTGCCCTGGAACATGACACAGAAGGCAAAAGCAAGATTTCACCCGAGCTCGCTGGCTCTTTGTTTTGCAGGGAATTCGGGAATGAGGTGCCCTTGTAGAGCTCCGTGAAAGGCTACATTCCACAGCAGTAGATAGAACAGCAGACTGTCAGCTTCCCTTGTGGGGTTCATGAAGCCCGAAACCCTAGCCCCTGAACCCTGACCCCTAAGTAAACCCTCAACCCTAGCTTGCGGAGAGCGCGTGCCAACACCCTAAACCCTAGAGGAGGTATACACCTTCGGCCAGAAGAGGCCCAAAACCCTCAACAGCTCCACCTCACCGTCCTCCCATCCGTTCTGGAAGAACTTCCAGGTGTCGATTCGTATACGGTAGCCACAAGGTTTAGAGGAAAGGGTGGCAGCCCCAGGATTCTGGGTTTAGGATGCGACTTGGGTTTAGGGTTTCGGGTTTAGCGTTTGTTTCGAGTGAAGGAGGGATGTTTTCCAGAGGGTTGGGGCGTGGGCAGGCCGTTGACATCTTCCAAGCGGTGGATGCTGCCTTCCTTGCAAGTAGTGGGGTGGGGGGGGAGACCTGTTGCGCGCTGCGACTGGAGGTTTGACCCACGTTGACTCGCAGCATCTCGCAGCTCTAGGGCTTAGGGATGTGGTTTTGTAGGGCTTTAGACTCCTTAAGGGCAGTTATATGGGCCCTTAATAATGGTCCCTAACCTCCTTTGAAGCGTTCTGATGTATGGGCCCTTAATTTGTGTAGGGTGTGTAAGGGGCATATAAGGGGTACCCGTTTAAGGCCCATACTAAGGGACCGTGTAACTACCCTAAGAGACTCCTTACCTCGCAGGTCCATGGCCTGTTGTGCTTGGTCCGTCCTGTTTACACGAGCATCTCTTGCAAGCTCCATAGAATCCCTTGACAGTGGTACCCTTTGCCCTTTTTTTGGTTCAAGGTTCGGGAATAAAGTAACAAACCCTTTTGGGGTGCCCTTATAAATATAGTATGGTTACTGGGTTACCGAGATACCCGCCTGCCATACATAATCTTGTTTGGGGATCTTCACAAGCTGAGCTGTTGATTCTGACTGCTTGGGTGTTATGGATGTTTTGGGGTTTAGGGTTCTTAAGGTTTAGGGGTTCGGCTAGGGTTGAAAAGGTTTAGGGTTTAGGGTGTTAGCTTGTCCGAGTCTGGGTTCCACAAGCTGGTTATGGATACTCTTAGCCCACGTCAGAAGGCGAAGCTTGCTACAGCCCTTTCCCTCTCGGCACGGTGCCCTAGCAAAGGAGTCGGCGGTAAAGATCGCGTCTCAAGTCCTCAAGTGCCTTGGCTTCCGTGAGCCCTTTGGGAAGCCACGATGGCTTCTTGGGGATTTGGGCTGTTTTTTTTTGTTTTTTTTTTTTTTTTGGGGGGGGGGGGGGAAGGGTTCAAACCCGAATCGAATCTAGGCTTAATGGGGTGGCACGCTCCTCCAGCGGTGCCCGGTATTGCATACAAGACTCTACATGTTGCGGCACGCAACGCGAGGCCAATCAACGCGGCGGTTTATTGCTGCGATGGCATTCAGTCTTCCAGCCGCACTCAGAGAGCCGAAGCGGAGGGCTCTTGGTTGAAGGTTTAGGGGGCGGAATACCTAGTATGGGGTAATATAATCCCCTTATAGTCCCAAAGGTTAACCATTAGTTCCCCCAGGTTACTGGACAACTAAGAATAGATGTAGGAATTGTAGCACGTAGCAGTAGCGACATCCAACCCTCACTTGTTGTCCATGTCCCAGGCTTATACTTTAGAACCGATTCGGAGTTTAGAGGACGCTCTCATAAAAGCAGACATAGTGTGGACCCAGCGCCTGTGCGAGCTGCCACGGGCTTCCGAGCAGATATACTGCGACTCCTGGCTTCGAGCCCAAGTCACTTCTCATGGTCTCAGGGCGCATGCGCGTTATGCAGCGCCGATGGCTCGCGCGAGCGTATTTGCGCACATAGTGTGCCTGACTTGTGGCGCACTGTACTCTATAAGCCCTGTATGACGCTCAAACAGACACAACCTCCGTCACGAGCTTGCACACTCGGATGCTTCAGGCACAGCCTCACTGGCCAAGGGGGCGAGGCGTTGGTCGGATTCCAGGCTGCACTTGAGGCTCTCTGGCCCCATCAAACTTGTCCAAACGCCAGCCCAAAGCCTTCAAAGCGCTACCTTCGTAGCTGAGTGAGCACACTTTACACTTTTTGGGATACTAGAATCCCCCAAAAGAACCGAAGGCGTACACTTTTTCGGGGCTTATGAACTCAGCAACTAAGCTACAGAAGCCCCGAACAAGCAGCCTCACAAGAATGAGCTTCGGCAGCTCGCTCCAGGCGCAAGTTCCGGGTCCCTAAGCCCTATAAATCCTAAACACAGGGTTTAGGGTTTAGGGTTTAGGGTTTAGGGTTTAGGGTTTAGGGTTTAGGGTTTAGGGAAACACTATGTCAGCGAATGTTCTGTCGTGATGGCCTCTGGCAACAATTAATTTAGGCATACGCCGAATGGGTTTTCTCCGCACTTCCGGCTGCAGTGCTGTGGCTAGTCCGCTGGCAGAAAACAACCCTAAACCTAAACCCTATAAGAGATAGCCAGAGGAAGCGGAGACATAATAGTGAAAGATTTGAAGTTGTACATCGCCCCGAAATGTTACCCTGCGGTGCGGCTGGACTGCTTGGCGGGTGGCAAAAAAACACCCTAAACACCTAAACCCTAAACCCTAAACCCTAAACCCTAAACCCTAAACCCTAAACCCTAAACCCTAAACCCTAAACCCTAAACCCTAAACCCTAAACCCTAAACCCTAAACCCTAACAAACCCTATCTGAGGTCCAGACCCCGAGGTATTGCGGCGAGCGATCCGGGGGGAGTGCCACTTCAAGAACATCCGGGAAGCCTGGAAGCACTTCAGGGATTAGGGGTTGGGGTTTAGGGCTTAGGGCTTAGGGTTTAGGGTTTAGGGTTTAGGGTTTGCCGTCCTCAGTTCCAGTCTTAAACAAAGGGTTTAGGGTTCAGGGTTCCGGGTTTCGGGTTTGGGGCAAGTTCGGGGTTTCGCGTTCAAGGGTTTGGGCTGGATAAGAAGCCATCAACCTTTCAAGCAACATGAGGGGGCGGGCGTGGGGGCTTCTCCAAACGATGATCCCTTTTCGGGCAATCGATTCGGAAAAGGGACCAAGATTTTCAAGACTCCCGCGGCCGCCCAAGTTCCCAAATCAGACCATGGTTGGGGAGCTACGGAAAGTGTTTTAGGGTTTTGGGGTCTGGCAGGTTTAGGGTTTTGGAAGGAGTCCCAGCAAGCTTGTCCCACTCAGGGTTCAAAAGGGCTTAGGGTTTAGGGTTGGAGGTTTGAGTCTTAGTAGCCCGGGGAGGGGGGGGGGCGGAGGGGGAACACAGCATTCACTCCCTGGCCCTTTCATATACCCTTTAAGGGTTTACACAGGGCCCTTTTATGCACCCTACTTTGGTTGAGTAGAATGAGGGTCCTAATTCATTCCCTAGTAAGAACCAGCGAGATTCAGGACATCCAGACTTCAGCTGCGGGAGGCTTCCAGATGCAGCTTGAGGATAACCAAGGCAGGGACTTGGCGAAGTGGGGTTTAGGGTTTATGGGGTTTAGGAGGTTTCGGGCTTATAGGGTTTATAGGGCTTAGGGTTTTTAGGGTTTATAGAGTTGCAGGGTTTAGGGACTAGAGGGTTTAGAGGGTTTAGAGGGTTTAGAGGGTTTAGAGGGTTCAGAGGGTTCAGAGGGTTTAGAGGGTTTAGAGGGTCTAGAGGGTTTAGAGGGTTTAGGGTTTAGGGTGGATTTCGATACACTTTGTGGGCTCAGGGTTGATTGTGATGTAAACCATAGAACTGGCGAGTTCAGGCTTCTTGCAGCTTTGCAGGTTCTTGTTGAAGCGAGCACACTGATGCAAACGTACCTGGCATCTCGGTGCATCCCGCAGCCTGCAACCAAGTAAATCCCTAAGGGTCCATGTACCTGAGTATTATATACTACTTGGGCCCCCAAAGTCCTCATATATAAAGTACTTTCAGGCCCAAGTATTCCCTATTTAGGTACGTACATGGACCCCACGGACCCGTCAGAGCGCGCGGAGTCAAAAAGGTACATGGACCCTTCGGGAACAGTCTAGACTTGTCGCTTTTGGCTTGTGCTGCTTGCCAGGCAACACATACGTGCTGCCAATGTCGGCGGCTGGCTTCTCCCAACAGGCATTGCTTTACTGTTTCAGTCCTCCCTTCTTCGAACTGCAGCCAGTTGAGGTTGGGGCGTCGGCTGACATCCCTTTAAGCCCTAAACCCCAAGCCGGAAACCCGAAGCCCTGAACCCTATGAACGATTTTGCTGTTAGGTTTGGACTAAGAGGCCCCAATATTAGGGAAGGCCGGGGCCAGAGCCTCCGTAAACTCGGATCCCTACCGTGGGCTGTTTTGATCTCTTTGGGTTCCCACACAAACGCCTTTAAACCCAAAAGGGTTTAGGGGCTTAGGGTTGAAGCTCTCCTCTGACTTCGGGGAAAGTATCGTCGGGACGCAGTGGGTGTTCTCCTCGCCTGTCAGTTGTACACAGTCAGGAGCACATGGGTTGCTGACAGATTAAGTCGACCAACCCAAACTACGGGCTTCCCAACTTCGACCCAAAGCCTGATCAACAGCCGGCAGAGGCTTGGGACGCACTGCTGGAAGGCCTCACTGCTGCTGTGAAGAGTCCGCAAGGCTGGAGCAGTGTGCTTGGGGTTTGAGGCGTTTGGGGTTCATCACATTTTCTTGGGAGCAGGGTCAGGAGAACTTATCATTTCTCCAACGTCGCCACTTTTGCAAGGGTACAGAAGAGCCCGGAAAGCACCCTCGAAGTTTCACATGTTGAAAGCTCACAGGCCCACATCTTCTGTTCGCCTGTAAGACTCTACTTGGAGGTTCATGGTACTTACTAACCAATTATAACTGTACTTATAACCCTGCTTATAATACCCCTAAAGGGCCTTATGGGGTTATCCCACTTATAAGTAGGGTTATAAGTACAGTTATCATTGGTTAGTAAGTACCATGAACCTTCAAGTAAGCCCTTCCTCATGCAGGCATCGCGAACTGGGACGACCTGTCAGCTGCTTTGCACGAGGAGCCTGGGCTTTGTCGCCCAAAGCGAACCCCAAAGACACGGGGGCTTTGAGGGACTCCTAAACCCTAAACCCTAAACCCTAAACCCTAAACCCTAAACCCTAAACCCTAAACCCTAAACCCTAAACCCTAAACCCTAAACCCTGAACCCTGAACCCTAAACCCTAAACCCTAAACCCTAAACCCTAAACCCTAAACCCTAACCTAAGCCTTTCTGTTGTTCCCGGCTGCGGGTGAAAACCCGAATTCGAGTAGGACAGCGAGTAGAGCTCAGAGGGCCTACTGCCTGGCCCCTCTGAGCTCTAAATGGAGGTTCATGGGTACTTGTATCCCCAATGACAAGCCTACTTATACCCTACTTGGGGGGGCTGATAAGTACAGTTATAGTTGGGGTAAAAGGTGCCCATGATCCTGCAAGTAAATGGTGCAGGATCGCACCCGCGGCAAGGAGCAGGAGCGGCAGCCTCTGGGAAATGGCAAGTCAGGCGCCGAACACTTAGGGGTACTTGGAAATATTTTCCGTTTTGGTACTATAATTCCTAAGAAACAGCAAACATTGCAATTTTTGCTGGGGTTCCAAGCTCAGTATAGAACAGGTTCATGAGATACCAGTAAGGCTGACAAGGTCAGAGCAGTGCGGCTGTAAAATTGCGGTGGATGGTTTAGGGTTTCGGGCAGCGATAAGAAAGGGGGAGGCATGGCATCTGGGCCCGAAAACCTATTTTTGTTTAAAACAATGTCAGATAATTGTCGTTTTCTAGCTGGGTTCAGAGCACTGATTAGGATCTGTGGGTCGGAGGTTGGGTCCGAGGAAGAGTTTACCTGGTTAGTCTGCCTAGTGCCAGCCCGTCACGGCGCAGGCGGCGGCGTGGGGCAACGAGTCCTGGAGGTGTTCGAGGTGGAGCGCTTCAACGTGGTCTCCAAACGCAACTGGGTCTATTTACAGTTCTTGCGCAGCTCAGGACTTTGTTCAAGGCTTCTTCTTGTTGAAACTCGACTACCTTGATGAAAGAACCAATGGTTCTGGCATGTCTGCGAGGTTGGCTGACGCCTTTCCTCCCGGTGGACACGGAGATGAGCTGGAGGTATCGAGTGCGCTAAATAACTCTCCCTCTCACTCTCACTCTCTCTCTCTCTCTCTCTCTCTCCCTCCCTCTCAAGGGACGCTCCGTTCTGTGATCTCTTTCGCTCTCTCTCTTTACACAACGTATCTCAGAATATGGCGAAATGTGCCGGTGAATCCCCCCTAGGTGGTATTCAAAATGTGAGTGTTTGTGTTTTCACAATGTGTCGACAGCAACTTATTCGGTGACACCATGAGGCTTCTCTTCCGAAACCTTCGCCACGCACCGAAATTTGAATGACCTTGTGGTGGGCAGTTGTCATCAGCCCGGACTGAGCCCTGAAGTCTCTCTACAAGCCGTGCCCAGGACTGTTCGCGATCTTGCAGAAAAATGTGGAGTGGGGTCTTCTAGGTGCCTCCCATGCATCCCAGGGTCCCAACCCCTGGAAGCCAACGAGCCCCAGCAGAATCCTATGGCGACCCTAAACCCTAAACCCTAAACCCTAAACCCTAAACCCTAAACCCTAAATGGCAAAACAAAAGCTGGACGCCTCCAGAAACACCCAAAGCGCCAGGTGGTTGGACTCCACCGGATACCGGCACCCTCACCTTGTTCCGTAGCCAGGCTCCAGGTAATTTCAGGGATCACTTTGGGAACCACCGGTTTGGGAGCCATACTTGAAGGTTCATGGCTAGCTTCGTTAAAAAAGGGTGATAAGTTCCGTACTTGGTTCTACACGGAAATGGTTAAAGTTATCTTGCTCAAAACCTTCTTGTTTCCCTCTTGCGGCCAGGTCCGTGATGATGATGATGACGATGACGATGATGAAGATGATGATGATGATGATGATGACGATGACGATGACGATGACGATGACGATGACAATGACGATGACGATGACGACGATGGTGATGGTGATGATGATGATGACTTTTAACCAGTATAGTATAGAGAGACTCAGGAGAAGCAAAAGCCATGTTTCGGTCCTGCAATGCCTGAAAAGCCCTAAACCTTGAAAACCCGCAGCACTTTCATGGGCTTGACTTTGAGAGCCATGCCAAGGACGACTTCTGAGGAGTGCGCCAAGCGGAAGCTTGGCGCAACATGGGGACTACAAGAGGGGCCTGAATAACTAGAATAGGGTCTTGGGGGTTATTCTCATATAATTATAAAGGGGAGCCTGTGCTCGAACCCTAAACCCTAAAGCCCAATTCAAGGAGTCTAGGGTTTAGGGTCTAGGGTTTGGGGTTTAGGGTTAGTTGCCATCTGCTTGGGAGGCAGCCCAGAAGGCTGAATGCAAACAGCGAATCGGCTTCGCTTCGCAAGGAAAAGCCCGGGAATGCCCGAATCCACCCTGAGCCTTCTGTGAGGGCCTTCCAGTAGCCCCAAGCAAACCCTATGAACAGATACCGGGCATACAGAAGGTTCGCGCAGCCCGAAGTCCCCACAAACTGACACACGGCGACTTCGTGCACCCCAAGCACTCCAACCATGTGATCCAGGGTTCACGAGCTGTCAGCCCAACTAGACTTAGGGGTTTCGGGGATAGGGGTCTATGCCCGAATGATCAAAAATGGGTTTAGGGTTTAGGGTTTAGGGTAAAACAAGCTGATCTTCGGCTTTGCTGTCGCAGAGGCTCCTTACCCCCTTTCCCCAGGACTCCGAACATGCCTCGAATCCCTGTGCCCCAAACTCAAACCCACAAGCCAAGGTTACTAAACCCTAAGCCCTAAACCCTAAACCCTAAACCCTAAACCCTAGCCCTAAACCCTAAACCCTGAACCCTAAACCTTTAGGGTAATTCAGCCTTAAGTTGCAAGGACCCAGCCTCCGATCGAGCTTGACCGGGGCCTGTACCAGCCGACTACGACCTGGCGGGTGGACAAGCACGCAGGCGGGGCTTTGAGGATTTAGGATTTAGGGTTTAGGGTTTAGGGCGTAGGGTTTAGGGTGACCCTCTGCAAACAGCTGCCACAGGCCAACCAAGCGCATGGGTGCGCAGGTTGCAGAAAGGGGGGCCTCTGAAGGATATGCTAAGCACGACCTGTCAACTGCTCCAATGCAGCAAGACAGATTGTTGGACCGTTTTGGGTCCATGCTATAGCAAAGACCCTCCCTCTCCAGAGAACCGGACGCCACGCACTGTGGTAGATATACACAGGTAGGAAATGCACCTGTAACTGTAACCCAGACAACGGTTGACCCTCCTATTCAGCCCCCAAGCCTCAAAACCTGTAAGCCCTGAAAGCCTCAACGCCTCAAGGTACGGACGATGAGGGCTGGATGTATGGTAATGGCATGGCCTGGAACGTCTCCACCTGGGAGGCCAAAGGTCTATCAGGGCCTTATTAGGAGAGCTTCCCAATGGCAGCCAGGAACATCGCGCGTGTCCAGGGTGTAGAGGCTTTGGGGTTCGCAACACAGTGCCGGGGCCCAGGTGGGTGTAGCTGGCTCAGGAGTTGCAGACCCTAACCCCTGAACCCTAAACCCTGCCTCAAGCCTTACGAGCTTGAACTCTGGGGCAGGGCTGAAGAGGATGACTGCCCCAGGCTTGCACGAAGTGCGTGAGGGTTAGAGAACCTCAGACCGATTCCAAAGCATCAGCCTTTCAGCCCCCCGAAATTCCTTAATATGCTCAAGCCCTACAAGCCCTGAACACCTTAGTAGTAGGTAGTAGTAGGTAGTAGTAGGTAGTAGTAGGTAGTAGTAGGTAGTAGTAGGTAGTAGTAGGTAGTAGTAGGGAAACCCCCAAGACTTAAAACTCCCAAGATAGCACACGCAAGTCCTCAGCGACCCCGACCCTACTATTTGCTATAGAACCCCCCCACAAAAGAAATGCAATTATTCTTCCTTCTAAGGGGAAGAATTATGGGGATTCTATTCTTCTTTTTGGGGGTTCTTCAGCAAATAGTAGTTTAGAGGTGGCAAGAGGAGAGTCTAGACTAAACTGGTCGTCCATATAAGGGTGTAGGGATTATTCGTTCATTTTTCTTGGGGGGCGGTTCCCAAACCCTAAACCCTAAACCCTAAACCCTAAACCCTAGACCCTAAACCCTATCTACGAAAGGCAAAGGCCGGTACGTTCGACTTCTTCCGGCGGCGCCGCTGGACCCGGACCTACACGTGATGAGAGCTGCCTCAAGAAGCGCCAAGCGCTTCTGGGTTCGTTTGAAGGATTGCTTAGGGTTTAGGGTTTGGGGTTTGGGGCTGGAAGACTGGAGGATAAGCTGTCAGACTCTTGGTAGTTGTCAAACTTCCCTTTGCCCTGCTTCTCGTTTCTTTCCTCCACTCTCTCTCTCTCTCTCTCTTTCCCTCTCCCTCTGCCTCTCTCTCCCTCCTTGCTCCCTATCTGAGAGGCAATTGTACCCCGGCGCAGGGTTTTCTCCACATGGGGCCAAAACTTCTGATTCACCAGAGTGGTTCCGCATCATGGGAGAAACCCCTTTACGGCTTTTAGATGAACAGGGCTCCCCAACAGGAGTCGTGCAGATACACGGCTCGGTACTTGAGTTGTTGTGGACTCGAAGGTTGTACGCGATGCAACGTAGCCCTAGATTGGAACAACGAACTGTGCGAAGTGGGACGGAAAGTCACATGAGCACACCAACCCTTTCCAGACCGACCATCTATCTCATGACTCCTTGAAGTCGCAGATCCGCATGGATCGGGACGGCCCCGCAGTGTTCAGTGTACAGAGGAGTGCAGAGATGTTGGTGGTGTGAGGGAAAACCTGCTGCCAGTGCTTCTTGGAAGTAAGCAGGGGCAACTATGCATACTGGCACCCCTAAACCCTATACCCCAAACCCTAAACCCTAGTTTGTGTAGAAGAGGTTCTTATTGTGCCGTTTCGTATTGCTACGACCATGATGACACCGTCCACTCCTCGCCGCAGATGCCAGAACTCCTAAACTCCAAATCTTAGGGTTTAGGGTTTAGGGTTTGGGGTTTAGGGTTTAGGGTAAAGATCACCGGCGTTATGGCCTAGCACTGCTTCCCAAGCACAGCTTCTACAAAAACACAGTGCTGGACCCCTGACCCTACATGTGGCACCTCACTGTTCGCGAAGCTTGCCACTTGCATCGAATCCGTCTTGCAAGAGATGCAGCACCCCAGTCAGAAGCCATCAACATCCATCCCTAAACCCTAAACCCTAAACCCTAAACCCTAAACCCTGGGTCCCTGAGTCCCTTTGTTGCCCCTGCACACCGCCTGACCAGGCTCGACCTGGCAGAGGGAGATGCGCCCGCTCCTGGCTCGCTTAAAGTACGAAATACGTTAGGGTTTAGGTATGGTTTAGGGTTTAGGGTTTAGGGTTTAGGGTTTAGGGTTTAGGGTGCAGGGTTTGGGGTTTAGGGTTTAGGGTTTAGGGTTTAGGGTTTAGGGTTTAGGGTTTAGGGTGGATGCATGTCCCTGCCCTGTCCACTCCCACAGTAGGTTGATGCAACGCCTTGAGTCGAAAGGCCCTGAGGCCCTAAGGCCTTGAATAAGCTTCGCTTCCGACGATTGAGTTCTTACCGTTTCAAGGCCCCTTGGGCCAAACATGGGGAAGGGTTTAGGGTTTTGGGATGTTTAGGGTTTAGGGTTCCTAAACGCCAAACCCGAAACCTGAAACCCTAAACCCTCATTTCTCCGGAGGTCCGCGTTGATCCCCCCCCAACAAGAGTGAGAGCGAGCGTGGCGCCAGGCAGTTGCCAGATGCCACCTCGCGAAAGGGTCCCTGGTTCTGGTGGACCGACCCCTGGCAACGGCACCCTCCCGCGAGGCTTTTGTGATGATGGTTGGGCTCGGGGTTTAGGGTTTTTAGGGTTTTTAGGGTTTTTAGGGTTTAGGGTTTAGGGTTTTGCAAAAAGGGTTTAGGGTTTAGGGTATGAAGGTCTTTGATCCCACTCAGGCTTGGGGGCAAGGTGTTGTTTTTGGGTACTAGAAAGCCACAGCAAGAACGGATGCCACCCTGCGACGCCGAAAGTACACGGTGAAACTGAAGAAGCCATAGAGGGGTACTGCATGGTGGGGTCTGAGGATAATTTCCTAAACCCTATACCCAATACCCTAAGCCCTAAACCCTAAACCCTAGCATGAGACTGGAGGGAGACTTTCGGTAGCCTTCACAGCATGGTCATGAAACAAGAAACCAGCTTGACACATTCATGCCTGCAGGCGGCAATGCACATAACCGAATGGTCCCTACCTATTCCCGATACACACAAGCCAGAAAACACCCATTCAATTTTTACTATTTGCTTAAGATCCCCAAAAGAATAAAAACTGATGATCCCGATATTGCCCTTAACAAGGAAGAACAGTTTTTTACTTTCTCGGGGTTCTTAAGCAATTAGTAGATAAGGCTTCCCCTGATTTTACACCACGGGCGTAGCGTAGCCGGAAAGCAGTGGCCGACAGGCACTTGTCGACAAGCTCTGCTCGTCGACTGAAAGCGAGGCAGGGGTGCTTTGTGCTTAGGGCCCCTCTTGGGTCTGTGTGCATTTAGGGTTTAGGGTTTAGGGTTTAGGGCTTAGGGTTTAGGGTTTAGGGTTTAGGGTTTAGGGTTTAACCCTTCCCTTCTAGGACCCGGAGTAGGCCCTTTTTCAGGCTTCAGGTTCCCTCATAGCCCCTTGGAACCAAAAAGGCACCCTCTTTCCTAGGTTACTCTTGCGTAGCTTTATTCCTATGAGGGGCCCCTTGGAGTTTCGAGTCAAGGTGTGCCTAGAAGGGGCTCCCTGATAATGCAGAACGTCTCGTGGCACCAATCCGGCCGAGACAAGAAGAATGAATGAACAAGAAGAGGAAAGAAAGGTATTTCGGACAGAGGGTGTAGGGTGAGAGAGAACGAATTCAGCAAGAAGCAGACTTCGGATAGGAACCTTTGTCGTGTGCACGGGACAATTCCACAAGGCTTTATACCCTAAAGCCTAACCCCTAAACCCTACACCCCATAAAGCTTAAAGCCCCGAAACCTGGGCAGATGGAGCTCCTGAGCCTGGTATTGGGAATGTGCGGAGATGCCACGGACACCGAGGCAGCGTTGGGCGTTTCGCAACAGGGGGCTTCAAGGTCAAAAGGGTCAAAGAAGGGTTCCTGTTACTTCAATGCAGGATTTTGTGGAGGGCTTGTGGCCCTAAACCCTAAACCCTAAACCCTAAACCCTAACCCCTAAGCCTTAAGCCCTAAGCCCTAAGCCCTAGACCCTAGACCCTAAACCCTAAACCCTAAACCCGAAGCTGCCGAGAAAGGCTGGCGCACCAGGCTGCTTAGAAGCCATCATGGGCTTGTGGGTTTTCCAGGGATGTCCGGCCCAGCTTCGTTTTGAGCTCGTCTCCCTCGTCTCCCGAAAATGAACTACAAGGATAGAGGATCGGCCCCATAATGGTGGTTGTTTTTTAAGTGAGACTCCTACACCAAGGCCCGAAGCCTTCCCTAACAAAGACCCGAAACCACAACAATGAGCCTGAGCCCTAGAAGGATCCCTAAAGCTGTTATAACTAGGACCCCTCAGTAAGCTCTTGTTCCCTTTTTGAAAATTTCGGTTCCCTTATAGCCCCTTTCAACAACAAACGGAACACTTGTTATTCCTGGGTTACTCTGAGGTCTAGATAAGCAGAGCTTTGGGGTTCCAAACCCTAAGCCCTACACCGTAAACCTAAACCCCTCAACCCCTAACCCCTGAACCCTAAACCCCAAACCCGAAGCCCTGAACCCTAAACCCTAAGCCGCTGCACTGGCAGGCACGGGCGCTGGCACGGCAGAGGGGCCGAGCAGTGGAAGCCTTACACTGCGTGGCCTGGGTGGTTTGGGGCAGCGGCTTGAGGATGTGGGGGTTTAGGGTTCAGGGTTCAGGGTTTGGGGTTTGGGGTTTAGGGTTTTCAGGTCATCGGGGCCTTGAGAACATGAACACCTGCAGGGATCCCATACAAAAAGGCTCCCACAAATTGAACAATGGCCGTTGGTTTCAAGGGCCACAGCCCACCTTAATCTCGAGGGCCTCTGGCCTTTCGGCTTAGAGCTACGAGGCTCAGGGCTTTAGAAGTTTCCGGACGTCAGGAGTTCGGTCCGGGTTGCACAGCTCATGGCCATCATTCGCTAAACCCTGCGATAGTGTGACCTCAAGACTCAAAGGTGGCGCAGCATGAGGCGCCATACATCGGGCAATTGTTTCGTGGCGCTCGAAAGAAGCCGTCCTGAAGCCTACCTTAACAACCCAAAACCTACATGAGGGTAGGTTGTTGTAACAACATTCCAAGAGGATTCTCAGGTAAGCTGCAAAAAGTAGGTTTTTGGGTTCTGAAGGTAAAGGCAATAGAGGCTTCAAAAGCACCAAAAGGACCGCAAGCTGTTCGAGCGCATTGTCCGCCACAACCACTATGAGGCCGGCATTTCAGATATTTCGTCGAGTCTTCGTGTGGCCGTAGCACGTTGCTCTCACGGCTCTCGGGGCTGCAGGCTCGGTAGGCGGATGTCGTGGTGGGCACTGCAAGTTCCAGTTTTCGCTATATTGCGCAGGCTCCGCAGAAATCCTGATACCCAGAAAGGAAAAGCACCCAAGCATTGACAGCCCGTTAATCGTAGCCATTGTGCCCTACAGGTCCCAAGCGATAGCAGCTTGAAGTATCACATGTGCCGTTATCAAAATTGTCCGGGCACAGTACCCTTATGGTACCAAAATTTCAAAAGCCCTTTCTCGTATGGTTTTGTGGTACCAAAGTCCGCAATAGTACCCTAAACCCTCACCCCTAAACCTTAAACCCTAAACCCTATAAACCTTATAAACCCTATAAGCCCTATAAACCCCATAAACCCTATAATCCCTATAAACCCTATAAGCCCTATAAACCCTATTTACCCACAAACCCCTATAAACCCATAAACCCTGTAAACCCTGTAAACCCTAAACCTTAAACCTTAAACCCTTCTAAACCCTAAACCGCCCTCTGGCTTTCGCGGATCCGTTCCGCTCCAGCGGGGAGGTGGAGGCGGCGCCACGGGATGGTGAATCACAAGAGGACCCGATCTGTGGGGGGTTTACGTTTAGGGTTTGGGGTTTGGGTTCAGGGTTTAGTTTAGGGTTGAGGGTTAAGGGGGTTACCCCCATAATAGTCCCCCAAGTATCTTTGCAACAGTATGGAGTGTAGGGTTTGGGTTTGTGAGTCCAACCAAGGCTACGACGAAAACAAGGTGATGGTTGAGCGGCTCTGGTAGTAGACGATCGAATATGCTTCACTTCCTGGGCTACCCCATGCTGAACTGGACGGAATGTCCCTCAGGCTGTAAATCCCACTCGGCCAGCAAATTCCAGTTCTGCGCAAAGCGCGATCCGATCATGGTATCCGCAAAGCCACATTCGTAACCCGAAGAAGGGAAATCCAGCGCACAACGAAACTAGCCTTGATAGGAGAGTGTAGGCATTGTGACTGCATGGGATCCGACTTCGAGCTCCAACCAGAACACGTTTTCCGTGCCCAACGCCCATTGCTGCAGAAGCCCTGCGCTGAAGCCAGTTTCGAGCAGGACTTCCCAGAATGCGGCTTGTGGCCACTGGCGGCAGCCGTCGTCCGAGACAGTGGGGGAGATTTCAGCGCTTAGACAGTACGCCTTAGAGGCTACAACCAAAAGGATAGCACAGAAACTGTGAAAGATGTGGGCAAACAGGATGCTGAGGGACGCTGCCCTTCTTGCAGGTTCAGTAGGAAGAGGGAAGGTAGCAGCCATACTTGCAGGGTTCGACATGCCAAGAACAACACAAGACAACTTCCTGGGCCAGTACCAATTAGTAGTTCAGGCATCGTTCCGTCTTTGATGGGTGTAGGGGCGGGTTTGTTCGGCGATCGTTGCGAGCAGATAGGTGAGGCTGGGGAAGGTCAGGAGCGTCACCCAAGTGTCTGGATGTGGGTCGTTGCGGCAATTGAATCATCGCCATGGACCCTTGAGCAATCCAAGCACCCCAAGCACTTTAATGCGAAAACCAGGTACCGGCAGCGTTTTCCTGCGGATGCGAGAATTAAGGGAACCTCGAGAAGGACCAGGAGGGACAGCATTGCAGCAACCAAGGTCAAGTTTCGCTTGATGAGCATGGCGTGTCCTGAGAGGCGATTATACCTATGCCTCAAGTGCCTCAAGCCCCACCCAACCGCAACATCCAATACCATTGACAAGGGGGCATGTTATGTCATGTTTCATTCATTGCGTTTTAAAGAAGGATCGTACGTAGGACTATGATTACACCAGCTGAAAGGTCCAACCTAGCCACCGCTGCCACAGTGTCGCCAAATGAGGTGGTGAACCATTCCCTGCATCCGAATGTGTGCGGCCCAGCCGCCTTCACATCGACGCCCCAAACGCCCTGAGTTAACATGTCCCTGAATCGCTGCCCTGTGCTTTGCTTGTCTTGTCAGCGGCTGCAACCCTAACATCAGGTGCAGGATGCCCGAAGAAATCAAGACCTACTGCCCCTGAAAATGCGAACCCCGGTTTCAGATGCGCGATTTGGCGGTGCTTTCGGCTGGTATCAGGAAACGCTTTGCGTAGCTCCCAAGCTGTTGGGCATGTCGAATGGACAGCAGAATGGGGCCTGCTATTCCGCGTCCTCAGGCTTGGGACCCTATGAATAGGGTTTAATGCAAGCTTCCTGTGGGTGAGGTCATATACTCGCTTTCCCTGAACCTACTGATGCGTGTTTAGCGCGTCCTCCCTGCCGCCATGGATCAGCCGCTGCTCAGCCAGCTGGACAAAGCAGAGAAAGGACCGCCACTATTGCAATGGAAGGACATGTCGAGCCACAGTCCTGAATCGGATGGCTCCACAAGTCTGCGGTCTAGGGTTGTATTATTGTCAGGCTAGGGTTTGGTGGCTGAGCGGCTTAAAGCTTATAAGGCCCCTTTGATAAAAGGTCTTGGGTAAAATTACTCGAGTTCAAATTGCTGAGGGCTGAGGGTTGAGGGGCGAAGGTTAGGACCGATGATGGCGTCAGGTCTAGGGAGTCTAGGGTTGAGGGCATCCCAAGGCACGGCAACACAGCTGCAGATGATTCACAGTCCTTCACATGCTCTAAACCCTATTGGAGACCATGGGTTTCGGGTTTGCGTTTTTAATAGAAGCTTTACAGGGTGTTGTACGGGGGTTTCAATAAGGGTTTCTACAAGTTTACAGGGGGCTTTCTAGTATTTTATTTACAGGCTTTACAGGATGTATAAGAATTTGGGTTTGGGGCACATTCGGGCACCTCCAAGCCGCGTTTCTAGGTGCGGCCCCGAAGCTGCGCGTGGACTCGGGCTCCCTGATCGCTGCTTGGCACCACTTCGACGCGGAGCCACCGGTGTTTTAGGAGCTGCCACCTTAACCTTGTAAACCCTAAATCCCTAAGCCCTAAACCCGTGTAGGGTTCAGCGTTCAGGCTCCCCCCAGCAAAGCACACACACACACACACCAAACAAAAAGAAACAACAACCACAAACATCTAAAGGATTTGTACTCCAGGCGCCCTTCACGACATCACGCCGGATCATTCCGTAGCAGGAAGGGTTTTCAATGCTAAGGCTTCCTTGCACAGGAGCACAAAGGATGGAGGAATGTACTGCCATCCCGCAAGCATCACCAGAAAGCTACAGCTTCCAGCATAAGCCCTAAACGCACGAGCTGCAGACCCAATGCTCCTCTGACTAAGCCCTATAAATAAGCTCCCTAAACCAACAGAAGCGCTCAGGTTTGCAAGCAGCAGGGCCCCCAGGATTCTCACAGCTGTTTTCTGGGGGGGGGGGGGGGTGGTTATGTTTATTTTCTTCCTGCTTTGGTTTGAGAGTTTAGGGTTTTAACCCGACAACATCCCCTCAGGCCGATCCCGAGGGCTGCTGCGATAAGGGGAAGGTCATAGAGCACATAGACTTTTGAGAGGGCCCGGACGTGTTTTTGGTTGCGGTGACATAATTATGTTACTTTTGTTATTAAAATTGGGATTATTATAGAACTAATTCGTATAAGTATTATTATGATTGTTATGAGTGTTTTGATACATGCACATGCTTCTATGTACATACGTGTACACACACACACACACCCCACACACACCACACACACCACACACACCACACACACCACACACACCACACACACCACACACACCACACACACCACACACACCACACACACCACACACACCACACACACCACCCGCACACACACACACACACACACACACACACACACACACACACACACACACACACACACACACACACACCACACACACACACACACACACACACACACACACACACACACACACACACACACACACACACACACACACACACACACACACACACACACACGCAAAGATCTTCGTTGGCTTGCTTGCTTGTCGTTTGTTCAAACATGCACCTGCTAGTTGCTGTGATTTCAACACCGAGCAGACGCTCGGTAAAGCCATGGTTTTGGTTGATTTCTGAGAGCCAGGAGCTTGACATCCTGGGTCATGCGCCGACCCGTCGCAGTACTCCTCAGACCTGAAACCCCGAAGCCTTGAAAACCTGCCTCAGCCCAGGCCTCAAAAACTCTGCACCCTACCTCAACAACCCAAAGCCTTCTGAAGGTTACCGTAACAATATCCCTTATAGGCTTCTTACAAGGTAACCTACAAAAATGAATGGGTTTTGGGGGGGTTCTTTAGGGTATGTCTTCATACGAACTGAAGACTCTGCCGCCCAGGTGCGGATCTCCTTGGTGCCGATGCCCTCCAGGCAGCTGCCACTGCCACGCCCTTGGCATTTGAGCCCTTCGTTTGTAGTGGGGCGGTTTCCTACATTAGGGTCCCTTTTTGGGTACGCACTAATAAGGCGGCACCCTTAAAAAATGGATTCCCAAAAAAGGGGACTTTAATTTAGAGAACCATCCACAGTGATTAATTTAGGTTGAGCCTTCCAACGCGTTTCTGTCCACAAGGGACGCCTTTCGCGGGTGAGGAGCCTGCTCCGCGGGTTTAGGGTTTAGGGTCCAGCACCTGGAGTTTCCAGGCTGCACCGCAACGCCCATTCCACAGAGCATCCGCTCATGAGAGTGATGCATCATGTTGCCTGCCCCTTTTGACCGCGCAACGTTGAGGGTCTACCTTTCTTTCAGTGTAACCGTTAACCTGTTACATCCTTTACAAGTGCGAATAGACAACAACTAAGGCAGATTTGCTTTAAAAACCTCATTAACCTCCATAAGTTGTTGACGGCCATAGTCTGCAACGCAGCCGTGTTGGAGTGGCTGTTTGTGGTTGGCGTGGGCTTGAAACCTCGTAGCAGAGACCGAATCGTGGAAAGTAGCGTGTTCTTCTATGCGAACCTCCGAGCCACCTTGTGTAACACAAGGGTCTATTTGAGTCTATTTGATTAGGCTGTGAATTTTAGGTGGGTTGTCTTCATTTCTACAAGACTTATAAGAGGATAGTACTGATAATAACGAAGCTCCTGCAACTCCCGTATTGGACTTTTCTTGCTTCCGGTTGGTCCTTGGAACTCACCACGCCCGGCAGCCTGACTCCCTCCCCAAAAGCTTTCAAACGCCCGTAAACCCTAAACCCCGAACCACCGATGGACCCCATAAACCCTAACCCGCCAAAATGCTTTAACACCCTTCAACCTTCCTAGGACCTTATTCCCTTTTTCGGGTTTAGGGTCCCTTATAATCCCCTTTGAAGCAAAAAGGGCACCCAGACCTAACCTAGGAGACTCTTGGGTCTTAGCTTCTCATCACCCTAAACCTTAAACCCTAAACCCTAAACCCTACGTAACCCTAAACCCTACGTAACCCTAAACCCTACGTAACCCTAAACCCTAAACCCTAAACCCTAAACCCTAAACCCTAAACCCTAAACCCTAAACCCTAAACCCTAAACCCTAAACCCTAAACCCTAAACCCTAAACGCAAGCCTGGCCCAAAGCCCGAGTCGTCTGAAGGCCGGCCGCTGAACCTGCAGCCCAACTCCTTGCCCTTAGGGAGGTTCACCTTCAAGCTCCAGTGCCCTGGTCGGCACGGCATCCTCTGTCCCCTAAACCCTAAACCCTATAAACCCTGTAAACCCTATAAACCCTATAAACCCTGTAAACCCTATAAACCCTGTAAACCCTGTAAACCCTATAAACCCTATAAACCCTATAAACCCTATAAACCCTATAAACCCTATAAACCCTATAAACCCTATAAACCCTATAAACCCTATAAACCCTATAAACCCTATAAACCCTATAAACCCTAAACCCTTTGGGTCTGGGATTGAAGGCTTGTGCTTTGGCGCGTGAGAGGTGGTGACGCTACTCCGTGCTGGCATGAGGCAGCTTACAGGTTCAAATAGGGTTTAGGGTTTAGGGTTTTAGGCTTTGGGGTTTATAAGGGTTTTAGGGCTTTGCAGTTTTAGGGTTTTCGGGTTTTAGGGCTTTAGGGGGTAGGGTTTTAGGGTGTAGGGTCTATAAGGGTTTTAGGGTTTAGGGTTAAGGGCGCTCGCCTGCCCGCGCACAAAGAACTGTTTGACGTTTGGAGGTGTTTGCCTTGCTCTTGTAAGCTCCTTGGAGCGGTCGAGCCTCCGGCTTTTTGTTTTTCCTTGCCGGCGGGGTCTGGGACGCTTATGTTGGACGCCCTATAGGGAAGATTGGGTAGCCGAAGAAACCCCCCCCCCCCCCTTCTCTCGTGGATCCTAAAAAACTCTCGAAGTAGGAGGTCCCTCCCCCCCAACCCTCGACTTGGGATATTCCCCCTTTTGTACTGACAGTCCTCAATAGGGATTCTAGGGGGTACTTTCATCCCTGCTAAGGACTGTTAGTGTAAGGGGGCACATCCCATCCCAACCCTCCGCCCCGTAGCCCAACCCTCCGAAGGAACCTCCACACCTTGGATCACTCCGAGAAGCGCTTGATCGGAGAGGTGGTCAAGTTTGTAGGCCGGGAGGGGCCCGGCGAGGGACAGATTTTGGAGAGGGTTTAGGGTTTAGGGTTTAGGGTTTAGGGTTCTTGAAATTGCAGACGATATCAGGGCTTTTCTGGGCTACTTGCACTGGGAACTCCCACACCCACCCCCGACCGAGGTGCACTATTGGATGAGTTTCTTCAACAGCACAAAGCAACATCGTTTACGAACACCAGCGTTTTCGGAGTCGGAAAGCCGGAGAGAGAAACCACACAGCTTCACATGCGATGTGCTGGCCCGAATGTGAAAAGACGTCTAGCAGCCTTCAGAACACAGAGGGGATATCTGTCGTTTGGCCTGGGGCTTAAGTGCACATCCGGAAAATTGTGGTTGTGTAACTGTCCCAGAGAGTCCACTAGTA